CTGAGGACAGTGCAGAGGATTCAGAAAAAGTAGGATGAGTCTAATGGTGACTATGAAGGTGTAGAGTGATCACTAATGGTGGTGACGTTATGTCTCCATTCATCTTCCTGCAGGGCATCACACTCAACACTGAAGTGCCTTGAGGAGGTAGTGATACCCTGTGTCAAGAGGATGACTGCTGGAAAACCCTATGTTTGGCAACAGAACTCTGCACCATGCTACACAAGCAGGAGAACTCAGTCATGGCTGTCAGACAATTTCTGCAACCACATTATCCCTTACATCTGGCCACCTAAATCCACACACTACAATCCTCTTGATTATCATATGTGATGTGCAGTTGAGTGAGAGACCAACAAAATTCCTTATAGCACCAAAGATGAACAGAAGACAAGGAGTATGGTAACATTCGCCAACTTAAACAAGGCAACCATCCAGAAGAGTTGCAAGAGATTCTGAAGTTGTCTGGAAGTAATGGTTGAAGCTAATTGCGATTTTATTGAATAAATTTACTCTTTAGTATTTCAAGATATTTTTGTGTAATTTTGGTAAATATATGTTAAAAAAAAATGATGTTATTTTCATTTTTGAGTAATTTGTATGACAATTTATCCATCATGCTCTGTGTGTGTGTGTGTGTGTGTGTATATATATATATATATATATATATAATTTCCTTATGGAGGGAAAAATGTATTTTTATTATTAATATATAATTTATAGGTGTGTTATTCTACATCGAGCACTATTAACACTAGCATTCAATGTGCTATACATGTATAATATGACAAAGGGGACATTTTTTTTGTGACGTGTTTCATCCGTCACAAAAAACCTTTCCAGCTTGTCATATTTTTCTAAGTTCTGTTTGTTAATATATAAAATTATACAAAATTATATACCGTTTTATATATATATATATATATGCTTGAAAAAGTTCTTTAAAGTTTTCTTAAAAAACGTCTAACAATGAAAATTTTTATTATATATGAAAAGTTGTTTCTCTGTCTGTCACACACTATGTGTGACTATGCATGTGCATATTTAATGTACATGTATATATCTTTGTGTGTGTGTTTTTGTAGCATTTAATGTATACACATGCATACATAATTTGAGTTTGAAATAAGACTTGGAAATAATGCATTTTTCTTCCACTTGATCTAGACAATCCTTATCCTTGACTGAGCAATAAAATCAAGGCTGGAAACAAGTAAAAAAAACTTAATTTTTTAAAACTAGAAAAAATTCAGATAGTTAAAAGATTTTATTGAACTTTTCAGAAATTATTTAGTAAATAAAACATTTTCTTTTAAATTTTGTAGAAATATTTTTAGGGCTGTTATTGAATTGAAAATATACACATTCACACAGAAATATCACTACACACAATTTGAATGGAAAGGGTATTGTGAGGACTAATTTCCCTGTCTGAAAACAGTCCCTAAATGTGCAGCCCTTTGAAGTTGTATTTTTTTTATTCTTGTATTTAAATTGAACATATTTTTTAATAAATGAAATATTTTAATTGAATAGACAATTTAGATTTGAAAATTGTTCCTCTTGGTGTCAATGAAGTGACTGGTAGCAAACTAGTCAATATTGAAAATATGCATGCTTGATAATTTAAAAAATCTATAGAAATTCAACTAATTATTGGTTATCAGTAAAACTACATAACTGTTCAGTCCTCAATGATCGAAATTAACATAATATTCCTCTGTAAGAAAACTAGGAAAATTTTTTATAATGTATAAAGATTTTAATTTTATTTTTAAGACCTCTCCAGTTATATGTACACTTTTTACGTGTTTTAAAAGATAATTTGAGAAATATATTTACTTTGTTTGAAAGGAATCAAGTAATATGAATGTCTCACATTGCAAATTTCAAGTTTTGTTTTTACTGTAGTCTATTGCCCTATTAATATCTGTTGTTACATTTTTAATGAAACTAATGGTAAGAATTTTTAAAAATTTACAATTACCATTTATTCTGAGGAATATAAATAGTTATTTCAAACTGCCCTAGTTTATAGTGCAAACATGTGACTGAATAATGACATTTCCTTTCATTTCAATTGCTGATATCTTGTTTATTTTTTAGGTTATTTTAATAAAATCAGTATGTAAACAAAATATAATCTTTTCTCTTTCTAATGATATAACTCTTTTTCATATGTGACACATAATTTTTATTCCATGTCTCTTTAAATGATATCACTCACTATTACAATGACGGACAGCAATTTTCCATATTTTCAAGGTTGACAATTTCATAGTGGTGTTTTCAAATTTTTTGTGCTCCAAGTTGTCTCCTTACACATTTTCAAATAGATCCATCTTAAGGAAAAAAGGACATTCGTCAATTTAGTAGGCGAACCATGAAGTTTGAAGTTGTCTTTCACAAAAAATTTCTAAGTTGAATACTTTAGTGGATGCAATATCAGAGAAATTCAACACTTAAAAAAAATAAATGAAAATTGCACCTTCTTGTAGAGAAATGGCTTGTCTTTAATAATCATTTAGTTTCATATCTCTGCACTTATACAACTTGAGGTGCATGTGAATCAAAAAGTGGGTATACTGCGTTCAATTCATACAAAACAGTCTGGTCTGACACAAAAATTTGTATTGCTGACAGAGTGAATGAACATCGCCAACTGAATCTCATTTTAAATTAGACTTGTTTTATTGATGGATAGTTCAGTTTAAATCTTTTTCTTATATTTTATTTAATGATGCATTTTAAAAGTGTAAGGCAGTTATTTATTTTAAAATTTGAGCTGACAGTTTGGATGAAATAAAATATTTCTAATGCCTCAGTTATTATTCTTAAAAAATTAAGTAAAATAATAAAATAAAAAATTAACAAGGTATATTGTTCTTTAAATTTCACTCATTCTCGTTTGTCCACAAAAAAATTAAAATAGAACTTTGAATGGCCATTTATTAAGTATTGCTACAAATTATTGAAGAAAACAAACACATTTTGAATAATTAAAATATCTCTTTGACTTTAATTTTTATTTTTAATTGAAAGTTAACAGCCTAATTAAAAAAAAAACAATTTCACATATTTGAATAAGGTTTTAACTTTTTAAGATATTTTTAAAACATTTGCATGGTCATGCACCAAAACCCCATTCTTGACAAATAAAAATAAAGTTTGAAAATCCAGTATGTGTTTTTTGTTTCAAAGTAAATTAGTAAAATTAAGGAATAATTGATTAGTTTTAGTCAAAATAATACTTATTGCTTAAATCATAGTGAAAATAATATTTATGTATGGTAAACTGTGAGTTGTCATAACCACAGTAGCATTCTAATGTTAACATTCAAAAATGGTATTAAACTTGACATTTTTCAATTTTAAAACATATCTTCATTTAATAGAAAAATCCCTTGTTGGAGGAATTTCAGAATTGCAATGAAAAATTTCAAGTACATATTTTAAAAATAGATATTCAATGTAGATTTTTTTATGTCAAATGTAAAAAAATATTTTAAATTAGGCAGTATCATCTCAACGAAAATGTTTTTTGAGTTTTATTAAGTTATTTTTTGGTAAGGTTAATAACGAACTTTCAGTATGTATATGGTTGAATTTGAATATATTTCTTTTACTCAAGTAACATCTTCAGGGATTTTTCTTTTTATAAAAGTTTTCTCAAAACACAATCAATATTTCAAAATATAAACACGTTAACAATATTTGAAAGTTGGAGTGAAACTGACAAAAAAGAATACATGCAGGGCTTCGCCATCAATGAACCATAAACATGCTGAAACACAATCAGAATACATCTTAATTGGAAGCAAAATCAGCAACTGAGCAGCAGTCATTTCTTGACATTTCAAGAAAGCATGCAAAACATCCACAAACAAAGACCCAAGCAATAGGAATGTACAAGAAAGGATTTTTAAAAATGAGAGACTAAAAAGAGTGTCAAGCTGCAGCTGAGAAACAAAGAATCATTAACTTGATTATCAAGCATGGTGGTCCTGTGAAGTCTTTAATAAAGATGTACAACTAGTATCAAGCTGTGGATTGGAATCACTGAAAGATCAACTTAGATATCTGTAGGTTCTTTTAGGTGTCAAGATCAACACAAGTGGAAGCAAATCTCAGCAACTACTTGACAACAAGAAAATCACTTAATTCATCTTCACCTCTAAGACAAAGGAAAGAAGAAAAGGCACTCAATGATTCTGGGTATTTAAACAACTCTAGCAGTTGTGATGAAGAACCACCACCTCAGGTGACCTTCAGTTACAAACACCAAGGGCAGTGGCCAAGTCATTGATATTAGGAATAAGTTGGAAGGCATTAACTATTGAAATGTATTGAAATGATACTTATATGAACAGTCAAATTTGCCTGTGTCATATTTTGACTTATTTTTTTTCTTTTCAGAACAAAATTTTTCCAATGTTTAGGCTGGTCTGATCTAAGAATTATTGATTACATCAGCATTCAATATTTTTCTTTTACTTCAAGACTACCTATATGGCATTACATTTATAATGATTCTTAACTTGTTTGAAGCCTGCTATTAAAATTGGCTATTTTGGAAAAAATGGCCATAACATGTTTGCTAAGTGAGCTACCAAGATAAATTTGGTACCAAATTTTATAGTTTGTCATGATCTTTACACCTGTATTAAAGGTTTTTAGATATATTAAAAATAATTTTTTAGTTTGGGATACATAGTATAGATATGAGATCTGGAAATAATTTCAGTAGATTTCTCAAACATCTGACCTTGACATGTGATTTAACATGAAAATCTGGAGTTAGAGTTAGTCAATGAAATAAAGTCTATTGAACATTTATTGATTTATTGAATATGTGTGTGTGTATGGTTTGGTACTTTTTGCAGTCTCCGACACCTCAAGGTGGAGTCTTGGAACATATCTTTTGTGAATAAGGTGGGGGAACTACTGTACATTCATTCCATTAAAAATGTTTTTTTTTTTTTTTTTTTTTTATTTTGCAGCTGAAAATAGGTTTGTGGGTTGATCTTACAAACACCAACAGATTTTATGACCAAGAGGAAATCACCAGAACAGGTTGCAAATATTTTAAGTTAAAATGCCGTGGGTGAGTATGATTACCCACCAACTTTCACTTTGTTGAATTTTGTTCTCTTCCTGAGGTGAATAAAGGTGGGTGTGGTCAGTTCTTTGTTAGATATTGAGTTCCTTTAAATCTATGGATTGATATAGATCAGAAGTTGAAACCTATCTGAGTGATTCATTAATAACTTTTTGTCTTTAATGGGAATTTCATTGGGTCAATTACTTGGGCAACCAAAGTAGCTGTCCAAATTAAGGTCATTAGATATTTTTTTTGCAGGTTCATTTGTTGCTATTCTGATGAAGATTTTGCTAGTTAATAAGCATTAAATTGTTAATGTACATTGTGTAGATATTTGACAATCATTGCAAAGGGGGTTACTGAGAGTGAATGGAAATCAGAAAGCATTAATGAGGAGAAAGCACAATAAAAGAGCAGGATCCAGAAAGACAGAAGATGGCTATTTAAATTTTTAAAGATTGTAGTTGACAGGAAAGCAAGAATTTGGAAGAGAATTCTGCAGGTGAGAATTGCGAGATATGTGTGCAAAATTTGTTTATATTAGCATAGGGAAGGATAATGACTAAATGTATTATGTCATTTAACACTTTCACACCATTCCCTCTTTTGCTTTCAATTTGTTTAAATGTTGAAAATAAAAAACAAACAATAAAATAGAATTTAACATGGCTAACAACTTGTATTCCAAATCTTTCAGTCATAGTGAAACTCCACAACCAGAACAAATTAATATATTTATTGAAGTGTGCAGCAGATTTTTGGAAAATAATCCAAATGAAATTATTGGTAAGTTTTTTGTATGAATATTTTTTTATTTTTTATTTATTTTTTTGTTTTTAATCTTTTTCATATCTAATTTCAGTTTGGCATCTATTTATTTTGTTTGAAAATATCTTAATAAGGTCTTCCAACTGACTTTGCTAGGTTGACACATGTGATCAATGCATCTAAATTGAATATAAAACTTAATTTAATTTTAACTTTCTTTTGACCTTTAGAAAGAAAACTTTAGATCATTAGATTAAAAATTCTATTTTGCAAAAAATAGAAATTAATGTATTTGTATTGGTATTTTGTCATTTGTGAAAAATCATTAGAAATACCGTGATCTCCCACATTTTAATCTACAGAAATTTGGCTAATTATTAAAATTTAATGAAATTTTCTATGCTTATTGAATTTATTTATGAAAAGGTTAAAAAAAAAAAAAAAATTAAAATTTTTTTTTTTTTAATATCAATTTTCTCTTTGTTACTTAGTTATAAATTCTATGTTTTAAAATTTAATAGGATTCTTTTGGAAGGTTAGAATGAATCATTTTTCAAAAAGTCCTGACTGATTCATTATTAATGTTGACTTGTATTTCTTTCATCTTAATTTTAGTCATATTTCATTGCAGTTGTATAGACCATCAGTAAAACTTTGCAAATCAGAAATTAAGACAGGCCTGCACAAAATTATGTACAAAAAATCCAGTTTTGTGGAAACTTGACTTTATTCAACCAATATTTCACTGTTTTTATATTTAATTAATCCCTTTAACTCTCTGGAGAAAAAAGAAAGAATTTTATTGCCATTCTTCTCTCTATATCTGTTTCTATCTCACTTGTACTCAGTAATTTACTCCTGAGTCCTGTGGCTAATTTTCTGCAACCAATATGGCCCTTCACTTTTTTTTAATTCTGCTGGCCTGTATTAAGAATAATCTCCTGGCCATACTTGAACTAACGTTCATTTTACTCCATGAAGCCTGTCTGTCTATGACAGTTACAGCTTGAACTACAAGAATTGTGATTGGCAAAAGATCAAATTTAACCATATAAGCTTATTGTTCATTTTTCCTTTATTGACTGGTGCTACATTTGATGTTATTGTTTTGTGTATACTAGTCATATTTATGCTAGCTATATTGAATTTTTATTTATTGGAACCATTATTAATTTTTGATTTTTGACTTGTATTTCTTTTTCAAATTAATCAAATAAAATCAAAATGGATATTTATTGAAAATTAATAAATGTTGACAATGTTTTAGCTAATAAAAATTTGATATCAATTCCCACTGAAGTTGAAATTATGCCCTGAATGTGAATTGTAAACAGCAGATGAAGTAAAATATTGTTTTCAGTTTTGTTGAAATATATCTTAAGAGATATGTAAAAAGAAACAAAATATTGTTAAAAAATTTAATCAAATTTTAAAAAATTTAAAAAAAGTTACAAAATTGTTTTTATCTTTTATGTCTGAACAGTTATCATTGAATAATTAAGAAATAAAGGAATTCATTACTAATTATTATCCACTGCAATTTTAAGAGGTTTTTGTTAACAAGAAGGTATACATTCAGTCCATATGGGCACCTAGTTGCACAATCACCAGATCATTTCCCATTGGCCATTTGCAGCTTGTCAGTATGAAAGATGTCTTGAATACAAACTGTTTTGGATAAACATCAAGTTGTGTCAGATAAGTTTATGGTTGGTTGGGCAAACATATTTTATCACCATCAGTGAAATGTCTGTAGGAATACATAACTTAGTTATGCAAACATTACCAAGAATATTCAAACTATCATTAGTTTTATTTGTGCTATATTATTTAATAAAATATAACCATGTAATTAGTGAATTTAGAAGCTCTTTCTCCTTTTGTAGGTGTTCACTGCACTCATGGGTTTAACCGAACAGGTTTTCTTATAGCTGCCTTTTTAGTTGAACAAGAATCCTGGAGGTAAGTAATTTACATTTATTAGATGAATTGAGATATCAAAATGTATTCTTGTTTGCTTTATATTTTTGAACTTAAAAAAATGAAATTTTATTAATAGAGAAAAAAGTCTTACAGGATGACTTTTTAATAGACAGAAGAACAAGTTACAAGACATCATGTTTGGCTTGTATATTTATCATATAAAAAATGTTTTAAAGGCACCTAATTAATAATAATTATAGTAATAGTAATTAATAATATAATAGTAATAACCCATTTTTTCTAAATATTAAAGAAAACTTGTAGTTCATTGTTAAGGGAAATATATATGAAAGAAAGGAGGCACGGTGGAGTAATGGATAGTGGCTCAGATTGAGAAATCGGAGAGCCAAGTTCGAATTCCAGTCGGATCCATTACATTCACTTACATGCTAAATACCATTGGGAAAGGTATGAATCCTCCTCTTCTTCCCCCAGCTATGGGTAAATCGCAGGACAAACTGGGTTCTATAGCCTTGGATGGCAACTGGTCTACTGCAGAAAGAAATGGCAACCTACTGCGGGTAAAAAAATCTGCTTTGTCAGTCATGTATCAAAAGGTACATGATTGCCTAAGTGTGTATCATGCATGGCACATAACTGACTTCTATGAAAATAGAAAACAATATTCTAGCAAAGATGATTTCTGAGAAGAAATTAAAACTGCGAGTAATGTTAAAGTTGAAACAAAAAAAAAAATTATAATCAGTTATTTTGAATTTATTTATAAGTAAAAATTCATGTTCGACTTATTTAGGCACCCAAAACAAATTATCAATAGTTTTAATGAGGTTGATGGTATCAGCTGAAAATTCAAATATATTGCACAGATAAATGTAAATATATCCTGAACATATCTATTCCTTTTATCTTTCCTTTTTTCCAACTTGTTTCTTTCAATTTTTCTTTCCTTTCCATTTTTCTGTACTTTTTCTTTTCCTTGTTTCTTTGCATTTTTTCATTAAATTTTCTACATTATCTGTTGATATTCTACTTTCCTTTGTTTTCAGTGTTGATGCAGCTGTCCAAGCATTTGCTGTTGTAAGTTTCCCTTCTGTCATTCTGAATAATTGCTTTTTTTTTTTTTTAAATAACAGTCCTTCTTATACTTGATATCAAGCAACTCATCTGTGTAGTATGAACGAATATTACATTAAAAATGATTTTCATTTATTGAGCATATGGATATATCAGCCTATTTCAAGGAATTGAGTAAAATTTTAACTGTTCACCTTTCTGTCAGATAAGTATTCAAAAGTTTAGAAAAAAGCATTACCTACTTGAAAGATCTTTCATAAATGATGAAAGTCTCTCAAACAGGAATTTGTGTGCTAGTAAACCATTTTTGTCCTTTTATTATTACACGCATATCATAATGGCTGACTGCTCATATCCCATATACCTGTCTACTAGGGCAGCTGGCCATATCCTGTTGCAGGCGCCTGCTCAGGCACGTTTGTCTATGTTCCACACCCACAAAGCTCACCTGTCGTTTATACTGTAACTATGCTGTACGGACCTTAGTTACATTTTCTGGGAGAGAGTGCATTATCTGGCATGATAAACAAGCCTGAACAGGCCAATATGTTTGAATCCTCAGTCATGAAGACTTTGTTCTAGCACAACCATTGACGGCTCCCAAATAGTTCTGTTCACCCAATTTCACTCATAATCCTTGGGTCAACTATTGTTATGGTTTTCAGGCACTTTCCAAATGAGCTTCACTTTGGGATTACCTCTGTTCTAACCACTTGTGTCCATTCATTATATTAAATTTCTATAAAAATTGAGATGTTTATCTGTTTTTAAGTAAATGCTTTCCAATCATAAAGAGTTGTGATTTATGAAATATTACTAAACAGGGTGACTTGAATCAATTTTGGATGCATATTTCAGAATGAGTTCTGTAGAAATTATGCAGTATTTTGGGTGGAGTTCTACAATAGATACTGAAATCAGAAATAATCATTTTTGTCTAATTTATTTTCATTTTACTATTGATTAAACATTACAGATCACAAATATTTTTTTTAATTCATAAAAGTTAATAGGGTGTTCAGTTTTCTATGTAAATTCATTTAAATTGATCCCCTTACAGAAGCTAAAACAAATATGCTCATATTCCTTAAAATTAAAAAAAAAAAAAAATTATTTTTTTAAAATTTGTAATCTGGTGTGTTAATTGAGAGTAAAATATGAAAGAAAACTACAGATTAAAAATTTCAATTTTTTTTTTTTATATTTCAAGAAAAGTGGTATGAGCAAATTTTATTTTGGTTTCCTTAGGCAGATCAATTTACAATGAATTTACATAGAAAACTGGACCCATTATAAACTTTTATAAAATTTAATTAAAAAAAATTATTTGTGGTCTGGAGTAGTTAATTTTGTTTTTTACAGTAAGGTTCACCCTGTACAAGGCTTGGGGGCCGACTTGAGGTAGTGTGTTATGTTAGTGGGTAGTTTATATGGATAGGAGGAGAAGATAATCATTGACTCTAGACTTGAACAGATTAAGATTGTAGTGATCAGGGAAATGTCCTCTTGGGAGTCTGTTCCATATCAAGCAGTGGTTAAATAACTTTGCTTCGCCTTGTCTGGCAAGGAAGATATGACCTCGGGGCCATTTATAATAGTGGGCACAGTTGCCTTGCCTCTGGTTGTAATTTGGTTGGTGACCTTCCAGAATTTGTGAAATCCAATATGTTTTCCAGGACTCTCTTACAGCACTGATCGCAGTGTCTATTGGACAATTTCACCAAATTTCACGAATTTTGCAGTTTTCAGAAACATACTTTTTTGTATTAATGTCTGTTGTTTTAAAAAATAATCTTTATAACTTTACATGTAGATATTTTACTTCAAATATACCCAGTTATTTTGCATTTTTTTTGTGCTTTATTTTTAATCATTTCCCCCCAAGCAAAGCAATAAAGCCACTAAGATGCAAGGGGGTTACTGAATGTTAGAGAATATGAGAAAGAGAACAGAAAAATACTATTAAGGAGAGAGAATAATAAAAGAACAAGAATGAAAATGACAGAACATTTTATTTTTAACATTTTTTTAAAAATTTTGCTATACACATTTATTTTAATGTTTTTCTTTTAATTAATGGACTTGGATCCCAAGCCATATTGAGATCCCTGGGAATAGAAGGGCTGATAAGGCAGCCAAGGAATCCCTCTTAATAAACATATCAAATTAAAAATTCCCCTTCACAGACTTGAAAGCCACAATTCTTACCTCCTCAACCAATGGCAAAAATCATGGAATACACACACAAGCAACAAACTATATCAAATAAAACCCATTTTGACTGTACAACATTCAAGAAAAGACCCTCCAAAATACCCAAACTGCCAAGAAGTACTGTCAAACGTTTTTTAATTAACTGCAAAAAACTGGCACCTATACAAAAATACTTCTACAGTGTACCCAACCTTAGAGCCCTCTTTGAGAGTGTCAAACCCAAAGCCATTCTAGAATTCTTAAAAGTAACACAACTCTACCCCAAAATATGAAAAGGAAACTGAATAAATACCTGGCTGCAAAACGCGACTTAAACCAAATTACATCCACGCCCTTATATAATGACTTATAAAAGAATTTATCCTCAAAATAAACACAAAATAAAATAAAATCTTAAAACTACTAATGACCCTTGGGGTTGGTTTCCCGGTAAAATAACTCCTCTAAATCTAATAAATGAACATAGATTTAATCAAATTTTAAAGAAAATGATTTTACACAAGACTAAAATATCTAATAAGCAAATATTCCTTTCCTTTTCTTTTATTATAGTATTTAATCTTATTTGCTCTTTTTTTTAAAGGTTGTTTTCAAATAAATTACACTAAAAATGTTGATGACCTAATAATTTTTTAAGTCAGAAAAGATAGGAGAGCCTTTTCTATTTGGTAATATATAATAAAGAGAAACATTGATCACAAATTTGTCTGTCTTTATACACACAAGGGGTTTGTTACTTGTGTTGTATTATTGCTTGATTTTATCATTTCTCTTCAGTGCCGACCCCCTGGGATATACAAGCAAGATTATCTGAATGAGCTTTTCAAGCGTTATGGAGAGGAAGATGAAACTCCAGAGGCTCCAGCACTTCCTGATTGGTGTACAGGTAACTTTTGTTAATTAAGCAGAGTTCTTTTGCCTTAACTTCTCGCCACCTTTGTTTCATTTGTTTTAACATTATCCCTTATTTTGTATTTCTCCAAGATATATTCTAGAGATTAGGATACTTTTTTTTTTCATTGGTCAGTTTTTTATATATATATATATATATATATATATATATATTAATCACATGACTATGCCACTGTTTCCTGAGGGCATGATAATGGAAATAATTTTTTAACGTAAGCAAGTAGTTAAGCAACGTTGAGCATGGTCAGTACCTAGATGGGTGACTACTTGAGAATACCAGGTTGGATGTGTGGGTTGTGTAATGGATAATGGCTCAGAATTGGGATTTGGAGAGCTGAGTTCCAATTCCAGACAGGTTCATTATATTCACTTACATGCAAATACCCTTGGGAAAGGTATGAATCTATCTCTTCTCCCCTCTACTATGGGTTAATTGATAGGACTTCTATCAGTAAATCATTATCTCCAAAAAATGCTCACAATTGAAAAGTATTTTCTGGCTTTAAATAACCTTGAAAAGGTTGATAAGCTGTAAAAAACAAATCGATCATTTAATCAATTGTGATACCAAAAGCTTTTGCATCCTGGATGTGACAATAAACTACATCTGGCAGCAAGGCCTCTGATCAGGAGGTTTTGAGGAGTGTGGAACAATCTCTTAATTTCCATCCTGGTCCCAGTTAATGGCAAATAGTTAACCCCAAACTGGGGTCAAAACACTATAAAAGTAGAAAAATGGATTTTTATAGTCGAAATACCAGCAATACATTTTTAAGAAAAAAATATTACCAGCAATACATTTAACTCTCAACAAAAACCCTCTTTACAAAAATGTCAGTGAAACCTAGTCTACAAACTGATTTCTTTCAAAGAATACATATTCTATTCATACAAACCTATCCTAAAAAAATCTTGTTGTCATTAAATAACCTATTGAATCCAGTCTGTATTGCATATCACTTAAGTTATGTGCAACAAATGCACAATTATCTTTGAAAAGAAAATTGTGAACTAGTTAAGAAAACTTTGTTTTTGCCTTAAAATGTTGATGATTGCATGGCCCATCAGATAATCTAAGCTCAACATTCACATCTTTAAAGATAATGTCAAATGCTTTTTTCAACAGTAAAGAGAGAAAAAGGGGCAAATAGAACTAGAGCAGGAGCACATCTTGTTTGGTATCATTGGAAACTTAGAAATGCCTTCATTTCCTTGTGAAATGAAACCATCCCATTTAATATCTTTTCTAAAACTTCTAACTTTCTTACAACCATCCAAAGGGCATCTCTTCACATAATGTTAAATACCTTGGTAAGGTCCATAAAGACTATGCATAACTTCTTTTCATATTTTCTTGCTTTCACTTAGAATTGTCTCAGGCTAAAAATCATATCTGTTATTCCTCTCTGGCAATTCAACATCAGTGAACAAATTATTCAATCTGTTGGGGGATTACCCCAGCAAGAATTTTGTCAACAACAGAAGAGAAATTTCACCAAGATTATTCTGTTCACACACTGGCCTTTGTGTTTATAAAAGTCGATTATTGATACATCTCTAAATTGTTGTGGATCTATTCCATTATCCAATATGAATGAAAGAAATTCACTAAGTTTTTGAATCAATACTTAATTTCCACACTTGTAGATTTCATCTGCTATTCTATCATTTTTGTGACTTTGTCATCAGAAAGTTGTTTGGGAGGCACGATGAGGTAATGGATAGCGGCTCGGATTGAGGAATCGGAAAGAGTTCAAATTCCCATCGAATCCATTACATTCACTTACGTGCTAATACCCTTGGGAAAGGTATGAATCCTCTTCTTCTCATCCCCCAGCTATGGGTAAATAGCAGGACAGACTGGGTTCTATAGCCTTGGATGGCAACTAGTCTACTGCAGAAAGAAATGGCAACCTACTGTGAGGAAAAAAATCTGCCTCATCAGTCATGTATTGAAAGATACATGATCGCCTAAGCGTGTATCATGCATGGTGCATAATTGAGTGTTAGCTGTTTAAAGAGGATAAGTTTATTTGCATCCATTTTCTGAGGTGATGGGGGCACATTTATCTCACACTGGATATTTTTATTGTCATTTTTGTCCTATTGAGCAAATTAGTTTGTGATTTGCCCAGCATTCACCAATTGCATCAGCAACAGTAATTTACTTCTGCTTAAATAAAACCATAATGTGTACTCACGATTTCCAGTTGCACAAGTTTTGGCATTTTTGTTGTATTTACACGACTTCTTTGTGTTTGTGTATATATATATATATATATATATATATATATATATATATATATATATATATGTGTGTGTGTACTTATATACACAAGTTTTTTTCATCATTTTGGTTTTACTTATTTCAGAATTTGATGGCACGGAAGATGTAGATGATGATGGAAATGTTGTAAAAAATGGAGAATCTTCACATTCAGGCCATTCAGCTGGAAGTGGAAATAGAAGAGGCCGAAAGGAATTTTTTAACAAGGTTTGTATATTTATTTGATTTTAATAATATTGATAAAATATTTTGCCTGCAGATTTGCAAGATGCAACAAAAGAAGTTTTCAGCAATCTATATTAATTTATTAATATAATTATTCATGTAACTCTTGGGGGGAAAAAAGATATTTTTAATGATTCAATTTTTTCTTTTTTTAAATCAAAATGCTTGAATTTATTTGGAGTTGTTTTTTTTTTTTTAAGCATTAAAGAAAAAGCATACATTATTTCATAAAGGCATATTTTTGCTAAAAAGAAAAAATCTTAGATATGGTCATATCATGTTGAAATACCAGTTCCTGTATGATCAGCAAAGTTAATCAATGTTGCGCCTGGTCAGTACCTAGATTGGTGACCACTTGAGAATGCCAGGTGCTGTATGCTTGTATGTGTGGGTGGTGTAATGGATAATGGCTTGGAATTGTTAATCATAGAGCTGAGTTCCAATTCCAGTTGGATTCATCATATTCTATGCTAATACTCTTGGGAAAGGTATGAATTTCCTTCCAGTTATGGGTTAAGATTTGTATCACTAAATCACTATAATGTTCCCCCCCCACCAAAAAATTCTTAAATCTAAAAATATTTTCTGGCTTTAAATAACCTGCGATGGATTGATAAGCTGTAGAAAAAAATCCATTTAATGTTTGACATGAGGCTGAAAATATACTAACTGCATTCCCTACAGAAGGGTAACTTTGTTTGCAAAGAATCACTTACCAAGTAAATGCAGGCAGTTCCAAGCAGCCCTTATCTTGAGATATATCTTATTTTAGTGCTGCTCAGTTATTGTTCTCCCCATTTCCACTGAGTTCCTGTACACACTCACCAGCACAGAGATTGAACACATAATTACAATGTCACCAAATTCACAAACCAAAGCTTTAATTCACTAGGCTATTGTCCTGCTCTATTGTTTCATATTACATGCTGTTATAAATATATTAATATATGAATGAAATGATTTTATTTGTAGAATGCCAAGTTTATGGATGGTGTCAGTGGAGTGACTCTTGTCACAAATCAACCTCGTCTTTCGCAAATACAACAGAAATGCCAAAACATGTGTGGCTGGAAATCGTAAGTATAAGTTGAGGTTTTATTTATACAAAAGCAAAAAATTCTTTGCATAGTGTTTTTAAAATTGTTAGTGGAAATTGAAATGTATTGATTTTTTATTTGTACTTACTCAATTATTATATATATATATAAGTGAACATTGAAGTCAACACTCAGAGGCAACAGACTGTTTCATGCTAAACTCACTCATCAGGCCATGGTTAAATGTAATTAGCAGAACTGCCTAACAGTCAGAATTGACAAAGTTTGCAATAAACAATTACAAGAAAAAGAAAAGAACAGGCCAAAAAATAATATAAATCGGCAATATATTGTATGAAGCTATACAACAGCATGTGCAAATCATGGATGATGAGATGAAAATAATTAAACACTACCGGAAATCTCTATTATTCCACAACAACAAACCATGGGCAAAAAAAAAACAAACAAACAAAAAATCAGAAGTTATGATGGAGCTAAAAAATTGGAACTGGTAGGTATACTTATCCTTTCATACCTGACCAGAATACTAAAGAAAAAGACATGAGCCTATATAGAGACAATGGCCTAATTCTAATAAGAGAACCTAATGGCCCTAAAATAGATAAATTTAGGAAAAAGATATTAAACGTTCTAAAATTGATTGGATTCAAAATAGAAATAAAAACAGACACAAGAATAATAAACTTCCTAGACGTCACCGTCAACCTGGACAAATAAACTTATGAACCATACAAAAAGGATAATAACACTCCCCCATACATAGAAACATCATCTAACCATGCACCCTCAATTATCAAGCACATACCTAAATCCATCAAATGCAGGCTATCAAACAGCTCATCCAACATAGACATTTTCAATGAGAAAAACACCATTTTGTTAAATACTTTTGCTAACGGGCTTGTTACAGAGAAGTGTTTTTCTATTAGATTTGGGAATGTTTTATTGTATGGTGGGTTAAACCAAATTATATTTCTTTTCGTTAGCAAAAGTATTTAACAAACACAAGAACACCAAAACATCAGAACACTAAAACCACCAAAATATAACCACCAACAGGAATCAATAACACTACCACCATTGTTACCAACATTACCCCCCCCCCACACACAAACAAAGCCACTGCCATAACAATTAATACAGCCACCATGAGAGATAAAACCATGAACACTTCAATATTATTATTTTGTGACAACTTCTATTACTTTCACTATTAGTATTGTTGTTACCACTTTATGAACCTATTGAAAATAATTACTAATATTACTTTTGCTATTAGTAATGTTGTTACCACTTTATGAAACTATTGAAAATAACTACTAATATTATTTTTGCTATTAGTAATGTTGTTATCACTTTAAGAACGATCACTTCATAACCACCTCTACCACCATTAGTAATATTTTTTATCATTGTCATTATTACTATTTTCATCATCATTATTATGGTTACCACAACTATTATCATAATTACTATTGTCATTATTGTTTTTATATATTGCTTTTATTGTCATTATTATGATTATTGTTTTCATCTTCATTAAGGCTAATTTTACTGTTTATCATAATCAATAACACATCAATTATTATTAATATATCAATAATAATATCAGTTATTATTATAATAGCATGGTGGTAGTGGACCCAGATCAATGCGTCTACATATATGTGCATATCTGTGAGCGAATTTGAGCATGTCATATCTGATGATGCAGATGGCTGATCTGAAAAACGTGAAGACTACCCCCGCCTGTTCCTTGTTAAGAGAAAATTGCTACATATGTAATGCTACAGTCTTGACACCGAAATAGAATGACAGTTGCGTATATATGTGTGCTCGACTGCATGGATGTGTATCTGCGCCTAACATCAGATTATTTATATGGGTATGTTTGTACAAACTAAAATGCATACACCTGTATGTATGTGTGCCAGAGTGTCATCATGAACAAACATAGAAGAAAATTCGACCCTCCACTACACACAAATAATGAAACACATATAAGCATAAATAGATCCACTTTTGAAAAAATAAGCCAGTTTGTCTGATGATTGCAAAAGTGTGAAACCCGGGGTTACAAACTACTATCCATGCAACTGAATATATATATATATATATATATATATATATAAATAAATAAAAAGAAAGAACAGTAATATATATAATCTGGTGTTCTTATAGATATTTTTATTTTTACAAAATAGTGCTCAATGTAAATTTACAGAGCATTAATATTATAAATTAACTGATTTAAAATATGGTTTTTTTCGCTACACAGTTCTAACCATGTTTCAAAAATATTTTAGCTTCCATTTTTGAAACATGGTTAGAACTGTGTAGCGAAAAAAACATTTTAAATCAGTTAATTTATAATATATGTGTGTGTGTGTGTGAGAGAGCGTGCATGTGTGCATTTGTGTATGCATCTGTGTTATGTATGTGTTGTGTGTGTTTTATATATATATATATATAGGTTGTGTGTTTGTGATATTTGTGTGTATGTTCTATATATGTCTCTGCTATATATATATATATATATATATATATATATATATATATATATATATGGGTTGTGTGTCTACATATATATATGTGTGTTTCTGTTTTATATATATGTGTATGTGTGTCTGTTTTATATATGTGTGTATGTATATGATTCTATGGGTAATTACTAACTCATTAATTTAATTACTGGTGATTATTATTGTCATCTTGTAAAATCTAACTGGTGGTGGTGGGATGTTCTATTTTGTAGCTCAAAGATTATTGTTTTAAATATGTTATTGTATGTTTGTTTTAAATTGAATATTTGTTTGCTTCTCATGTCTGATATTTTAACTGATGGATTACAGAACTGGCTTTCCTGGAGCTCAACCCGTTTCCATGGATAACCAGAATCTCATCTTTCTCAAACAGAAACCCTACAAGGTCAGCTGGAAAGCAGATGGTGTAAGGTGGGTGCTTATCATGTTTTCAATCTTTCAGAAAAATACACAATTGTCCTGTGTGTTTTTTCTTTTTTTTTTTTTTTTTTAAATATTATGTATTTAATGTATAGAATGTCAAAGAATAAGTTTTCAAATCCTTGTATAACATTTGTGTCAAATTACTATTAAAATATTTTGAAATTTAACTTCTATTTTGTGATATTATTTAAAAGACAAAAAACAAAATGCAAATATATTAAAATCAAAAATTTTCAAAATATAAAGTTGTTTTTTTTTTTTTGTCTGGATTGGGAAATAAATTTTTTTTTTTATTTTGAGAAAAAAATTGGCTCATATTTTTAACACTTTTGAGAATAAATAAGATTGATAATCAAAATTGTATATCAAGATAGAAACTTGTATATATTTATTGTTTTTATGCTGTTAATTCCGGATTCCTTTTCTTTTTTTCCTTTTCTCTTTTTCTACCCCCCCGTTTCTCTTTTTCCCCACTAAATGTTTATTCAATACAAGGCGCAAAAGTTACTCAAAGTAGAGCGTTACTGAATGAGGTTGTTGTATAGATGTAAGGAGAGTAAGTAATGAAGTTTATGGGCATATGTAGAATAGATAACAGTTGATCCTAGACTTGAAGAGGCTAAAATTATAGGTATTGCAGAAGCATCCTTTCAGGAGTCTGTTCCACAGTGTTTGTAATTTCCTTCTAACCAATGAAATACAACGCCCAGTCGGTGGGGCATCAGAATACGCCGACTGCCCCCCTGCAGAGGGTAAAAGTCCCTCAATGGGGCCACCTGTTGGCCGTGGGTGGCGACCCGTAATGTCTGGGGACGGGATCCTGGTGGTTGAGCAGGTTGTAACCCAGGTGTAAAGCGGTCACAATCTTGTAACACACCACTTTGGCCCTTACCTGGGCTAGACGGGCGGTCGGAGGGGCCCATCCGATCAATCGGCTGGTCATGTCAAGCCCCATCATATATAATCCAACCCAAACCTATAACTGACACTCCTCTTCCCAACCAAAACTAACACTTAACCCTAAATATGTGATGGAAGGCGGTGGCTGAGGTCAATCAATTTGGGGGAAAAAAGTATCTGACACACTTGCTAAACCTTCACAGCCGTAATACTTGGAAAACGGAAACAAAGGAACATGCGTGCTCAAAGACTCCTCCCAAAAAGAGTATATCATTCACGTAGCCCCGACATGGCAAGGCGAATGGGTTTCCCCCTTGACCTGTCCCAATCTGGACTCCGTGGTGGGTAGGGAGCGAGAATGATGAACAAAAATAAAAACAATCAATGGAAAAAAATCTTCCAAGAGACCACATGTGGATAACGACTCAGAAATAGAGAATGAAAGTGAAAACTTCCCACGGTTTATTGTACTCAAGCAATAAGCCAAAATCATTATCAGAAATTTCTCCGTTTAAAATACAAAAAGCAATAACAAATATCATAATACCAAAAAAGGTTAAAAAATTACAAAATGGAACAATACTAATAGAAGTAGAAAAAAAATATATGCGGACACATTGATCACACAAAAAAAACTACAAGAGATAGAAATAAAAACCTACCCACACCAAACCCTAAATTACTCAAAGGGAGTAGTAAAAAGTAAGGAGCTCTCCTTGTGCACTCTAGAGGAAATAAAATAGAACTCCAAACTCAAGGAGTTACAAATGTTAAAAGAATAACAATTAAAAAAAAATGGACTGAGATACAAACTAATACCTACATTATAACGTTCAAACTCCCCCAAATTCCAACTTCAATAAAAATTGGATATGAAAGTATAAAAGTAGAACAATATGTACCAAACCCTCTACAATGCTATAAATGCCACAAATTTGGGCATCACAGAGATTCCTGTAGAAATAAAAAATATGTGGGAAATGTAGTGAGAAGGAACCAGAACACAAAGAAGAGAACTGCCCAAATGAGAGCCTATGCTCAAACTGTTTGGGAAACCACTCTGCCCTCTCAAAACAATGCAATATATATAAACAGGAGAAAGAAATAATTAGAATAAAATACAAAAAAAATATATCTTACATAGAAGCACGAAAAGGAAGTTATAAATAATATAAAAGAAAACACATATGCTTCCATGGCACAAAAAGCAAATAAAATAAACAATGAAGATAAAATAAAAGGTTCAATTGAAATAACAAATCTATGTAAGGAATTAAAAGCTTTCCTTGAAGAATTAAAAACCTTTTTAACCAACTTAAATCGGATCAAAATAAAACTCAACAACCCAGATCAAATGGAATAAACCCAGAAGGAGGCAAAAAACTTTGGAAAGAAAACACAGAACAAAACTCCAGCGAACCCTCTTCTTTCCAAACCCAAACTAAGAAAATGAAAAATAAACAAAAAGAAAAAAAAAAGTGACAACAGAGCAAGAAAAGCACTCGATCAAGATCTAACTCAAAATCGAGAATCAGTATATCAAATGAAAATAAATTTGAACCTATGGAATATATAGAAATAGAAGAGAAAGATAATAAACAAAATTCAAAACAAAATCAAAATCTGATCGAAGGAAACCACAAGCAGTTGAAGACAAAGCTTCTAAAAACTCAAGAGATGGAAAAAAAAATTGGAGAGGACAAATGATACCAACCTAGTAGGTAACTTTACTCCCAAAAATGAAAATATAATCATGGCACATAAGATCCTGCAATGGAACTGTCGTGGAATAAAATCAAATTACAATGACCTACTCATACTTATGTCACTACTGTATCCAGCCGTCATCTGCTTACAGGAAACTTTTTTTACAAGAAAATACCAACTTAAAATTAAAAATTATAAACAATACCACTATAATCACAATACAGGACATAGAGCTAATGGAGGAGTGTCAATATTGATCAGAAATGACATACCACAAAGTAAAGTACACATTAAAACTAAATTTACAAGCAATAGCAACACAAATGACACTAGATAAAACCATCACAATTCTTTCCATTTATATACCCCACAGGAACCAATAAACACAACAGAAATAAACAACTTGATGGAGCAACTTCCCAAACCCAGAATCTTACTAGGAGACTTTAACAGTCATAATCCTATATGGAATAGCAAAAAGCTAGATACTAAAGGTAAAATATTAGAAGAAATAATTAACACCCATAACTTATGTCTATTAAATCATAAATCCTCAACCTACCTTAATCCCTCCAATGGAACAGAATCATCAATAGACTTAAGTATAAGCGATCCAGAAATTTGTATGGATTATACATGGAAAACACATAGTGACACATGTGGCAGTGATCATTACCCGATCATACTAGAAAATCAAAAAAAAGCCTGCCAAGGAAGAAAAGATAGGCCCCGTCAGATGGAAACTGAAAAGAGCCAACTGGGAGGGTTTCAAAAACAAATGTAAACAAGTACTGATACAGTCAAAGGACACAGACAACTCGGTAGAATACTTTACCAAAACATTAATAACCATTGCCTCAGAAAATATACCAAAAAAGCAAAATAATTATAAAAAAACTAAACCCTGGTTTGACAAAAACTGCCAAAAAGCAGTCAGAAACCGGGAAGCAGCATTGCGAAAATTCAAGAAGGAACCCACAACCCAAAATTTGATTGAAATGAAGAAACTCAAAGCAGTAGCACGGAAAACTGTAAAAGAAGCCAAAAGGGAATGTTGGAAAAAATATGTAAACAGCCTAAATACACATTCTAAAACCAAGACAATATGGGAAATGATGAGGAAAATAGCTGGAAAAGATCAAATACACCCAATAATACATCTTAAAAAGGACAACACTAAAGCAACTAGCAAAAGAGAGATAGCAAACCTACTAGCAGAGACATTTGCAGAAAACTCTAAAATGAGCAAAAAATCAAAACCTACAAAAGTGTAAACAAAAAGATATAAATAACCAACTAAATTTTTCATCTAAAAAATACAGAAGCCTACAACAACCTATTCACTGAAGCGGAACTAATAGAAGCCATAAAAAATCCCATAATACAGCAGTAGGCCCAGACCAAATCCACTATGAATTTATTAAACAACTACCACAAGAATCGCTGAAATACCTTTTGAATATTTTTAACAATATTTGGACTACTGGGAAATTTCCCAAAATATGGAGAGAATCTGTAATTATTCCCATACTCAAAGAAGGAAAAGAGGAAACAACCCACAAAGTTACCGACCAATAGCATTAACAAGCTGTCTATGTAAGACAATGGAACGAATGGTCAACGCCAGATTGAGTTGGTTTCTAGAAGAAGGAAAACACATATCAGAATATCAATGTGGATATAATAAAGGAAGAAGTACAATAGATCACATAATAAGACTAGAAACAGCCATAAGAGAGGCCAATTTAAACAAACAACATCTAATAGCCATATTTTTGATATAGAAAAAGCATTTGATCAAACCTGGAAACATGGTATAATGAAAGATCTGCATAAATTAGGATTAAGAGGTCGACTACCAAACTCCGTAAAAGGATTTTTAAACAGATAGACTCTTCCAAGTACAAATAGATACTACACGTTCTGATTATCAAAAGCAAGAAGAGGGAGTACCACAGGAAGTGTACTCTCCCTACACTTTTCAAAATAAAAATAAATGACATAATAAAAAACATCAAATCAGGAATACACTGTAGCCTTTATGTTGATGATTTTACAATATATTACAGATCAAGAAACCTCAACACAGCAGAAAGACAACTTCAACAATGTTTACATTAAATAAACAAATGGACACTCGAAAACGGTTTTAAAATATCAAAACGAAGACAAAATCTGTACACTTCTGCCAAATGAAAAAATTACACAATAACCCAACTCTAAAACTAGGAAATGAAGAAATACCAGTAGTTCAGCAATATAAATTTCTAGGAATGATCTTTGACAGCAAACTGACCTTCAGACCACATATCAATTACCTAAGAACAAAATGTTTTAAAGCTCTCCAACTACTGCGAACAGTAGCCCATACAGAATGGGGAGCTAGCAAAGAAACCCTTCTTAAGCTTTTATAGAACGTTGATCCGCTCCAAACTGGACTATGGCAGCATGGTCTACCAATCAACTAGAAAATCTTATCTAAAAACAATAAACACAATACATCATGAAGGCCTTCGGATAGCTCTAGGAGCCTATCCCACCTCACCTATAGAGAGTCTACATGTAGAGGCAAACGAACCCCCATTACAACTAAGAATGGAGAAACTAGCTACTCAATACTATCTAAAACTCTCTTCCTGTCCTTCTAACCCCACACACGATTGTGTAATTACACCAAATCACAAAGAGAAATTTAATCTTAACACAAATAAAATCAAAACATTGGGACTCCGGATGGAAGGAATCATCCAAGAAAATAATTTACCGTCTAATCAAATACTTAAAACCAACCAATCAAACATACCACCATGGATAATCAAAAATCCAAACATAATATTAAGTTTAAACAAATTATCAAAATCAAAAACACACCCCACAACATACATTGAAAAATTCTCAAAAATAAAAGAAAAATATCAAAACTATGAAAGTATTTACACAGATGGATCAAAAGACGAAGAAAAAACAGGCAGCGCAGCAATAACAAAAAAAAAACAATTATCAAAAAACGCTTGCCAAATGAAGCATCAATTTTCAGTGCAGAAGCCTACGCAATAAAACTAGCACTAAATTTCATATCAAAAAACAAAGGAGAAAACTATATTATTTTCTCAGACTCATTATCGGTATTAACCTCCCTAAAAGGGAAAAAGACTGGAAAATCCATTAATACAAAGTCTTCTATATAAACTACATTCAATGGAAAAAAAGCAAAAATATCATCTTCTGCTGGATTCCTAGCCATGTTGGCATCCAAGGAGGAGATAAGGCAGATAATGCTGCTAAATCATCTTTAAAAATGACAATTGACGAAAATCTTCAAATTCCATATACAGATTTAAAATCTAAAATATATAAATACATAAGAAACAAATGGCAAAATCTATGGAAAAACCAAACCGAAATAAATTATTTCAAATTAAACCTAAAATAGGAAAATGGGGAAATGATCTTGGAAATACTCGGAAAAAACAAGTTGTCATAACCAGAACACATATAGGACACACATATTTAACTCATTCTCACATATTAAAAAAAAGACAAATCCACCAAAATGTAAATGTGGAAGCCTAATCACAATAAGACATATTCTATCAGAATGCAAAATCATAACTAGAATAAGACAGAAATATCTCAATGGAAAAGATTTAAAAGAAATATTCAAAAATACAGACACAGAAAAAATATACAGTTTTCTCAAGGAAATAAAAAATCCTCAATAAAATATAAATAGTGTATATATATATATATGCTTATAGACATATATATGCATCTATGAATGTAAACAGTAAAATACACAATCAGAAACGATCACAAAAAGCAATCCCAAAAAATACAGAAAATTATGAAACCCAACAACCTTTCATCTTTTTATACAAAATAACCAACTTAAATTCATAAATTAATAAGGCTTCGGCATAAATTGACCCAAATAGGAGTTGACATGCCGTTAAATCCAACATCCATCCATCCAATGAAATACAATGGAAATGAGGATGTCTCAATCTTGTGTACCTGGCATGGCAGTAGGCTAGCTGTAAATGTCTGAACTGATGGAACTAAGGAATCTAGCTCATCTGGACATTTTCCATGAAAATAGTGATATAGCAGCAATAGGTTTGTGATGTTTTGTCTGTAGGGAAGGGGTTTTAGGATTGAAAATAATTCATCGACCACAAGCCTGTGTAAATAATCTTGTTGAAAGCTACCCGAGCATAAAATACTCTCCAGTACCTAATAGACTGGAGGGGGAAAGTATTTATTTTTTACTCTTATTTTTTGCAGAAATTTTCAGATAACTCCTTTGTCTCATTTATTAATTTTGCACTTTTTGACCTTTTAAAAAGTTTTCTGGTCTCCTCTTTTATTAAGACCTGTTTTTTTTTTTTTGTTGTTGTGGGGTGCCTATTGAGACTCCCTCTTAAGATTTTTCCTTGTATTAGGTACCTTAAAGTATAAAATGCAAAAACAATTCTCTTTCTGATTTCAACCAAACTGTACACCTCACAAAATCTGGAGAGATGTAACGAGCAGAATGATAACAATCTGAACAAATCTTGGAATAAAGATTCCTTTTCCTAACTATTAAAAAATCTTGTTTAAATTTCAATATGGATAAAATGTTTTTACCTTTAGGTACATGACGCTAATTGATGGTGCCAATGAAGTCTACATGATTGATCGAGACAATTCTGTGTTTCACATTCCCAACCTTGAGTTTCCTCGGCGGAAACAACCAGATGAACATATATGTAATACACTAATAGATGGGGTAAGTTCATAATGGAAAATTTCACACTTTTTAACTTTTTTTTTCCTTTGTCTAAAAGGCTCATTCCACATGTTCCCCATTCTGCTTTATAAAAACCAATATATACTGTAGTCGTTGACATGATTATTCTATAAAAATAACTACATAAAATGTAAAATACTGATAAAATTTTAACCTTATTTAGCAAAATTAACTTTGTTCAATCATATAACTAAAGTATTTTGTAGCAGTTTTTGGATGTGTGGATGGTTTAATGGATAATGGCTCAGAATGAGAAATTGGAGAGCTGAGTTCAAATTCCAGTCAGGTTCATTATATTCGCTTACATGAAAATACCTTTGAGAAAAGTATGAACACATCTCTTCCCCTAGCTATGTGTTATCTAGAAAAATAATTGTTATTCTCAAAAAATTGTTAATGCAATGTTCACTCACAAAAAAAATCTTACAATCCAAAATGTGTTGATAAGCCATAGAAAATAAATTAATCAATGTAGCACTTTTAATTTTGTTTTACAATTACTGTCAGTTAAATTCCACTGAGATTAGTAGCTTAATTTAAAATCAAGTTTATGGTTTAGGTGAAAATGGTGGGTTTTATAAAAAATATACTTATGTAATTTGTTCTCAATTATGACTTCTAGAAATTTTTGATTTTTGAGAAAAATTAGATTTTAAAATGGTGGTGGATGAAGTGGCTCTAAAGTGAGGGTTTGATTTATGGTACATGTGTTTGAACATCAGCTGTCATAAATACAAACTAAAATGCAAATTTAATGTAACTTAGGAGCCACTTTAAAGCTTATTTTTTGTTTAAAAAAAAAAAAAATGAAAAATTTTTGGAAGAAATAAAATTCATATTTGAACAAAGCAGATGAAAGTTCATAAGATAAATACAGTTTTGGACAAAAATCTATTATTTCCACAAAGTGAATCTTAAATTTGATTTAAATGACTGAACTGCTGATAATCCTAATTTCAGTTTTGAAATTAGTCAAGTGAAATGAACAATTTAAATTTTTTCAAATTATAAACACATTTTTAAATTTGAAAAAGACCTTGTGACATGTAATGAGGAAAGAAGGCTTGGAAAATTTGACACTCACACAACATTTGTGGTAAGAGTGATAGAGGGAAACAGCAAGTAATCTATCTAATGAGCTTGTGTAAATGGATGACAGAACATGGACTGGAAGGAAGAATAAAGAGATGCACATTGCTTAGTGCTACAAAGGATAGGAAAGTAAGGAGAGCCATGACTGCCTATGTCCTGAATAGACATTGCACATAAAAGAATATACTATTTAATATTACATTTTTTTTAATATTGAGGGAACTATATCTTTAAATAAAACCTTCAATTTACATCCTGTCTCTCTGGTTAAATATTGTTTATAAGTAAAAAAAATAATTTGACAGTCATAATGTGAGAATAAACTATAGAATTTAATATTTAGTTAATAAAAAATCACAAAATTTCATCTCCATTTTTGCAATATAAAGTACAGTCAACTAAACAATTTACTTATAATTTGCCTGTGACTGATGCTAAATATCATCTTACTCTGTATTATTTGCCTGTCAGTGAAGTAAAATTGAAAATCTTCCAAGAGCTTCCAATTAGCAGAACATTGATATTGTAATGTAGGGGTCATCAAACTTTTCTGACTAGAGACCTCCTTTTGTTTCTCTTCCATCCTCAGCAATCCCCATATAAAATATCTTTGAACTTTAAAACTTGCAGTGATGTTGGCAATTAAAATGTTAACTAAAATGTATGAAAAGTAAAAAAAAAAAAAATTTGGATCAGGTTCAAAATCTCTCTCTCCCCCAGTGTCATCAGGTTCATAATCCCCTGCCCAAAAAACCCCCAAAAGAGCAAGCAATGCTCAATGTAACATTAAATAAGTTAAAAGCTACTTGGGTAGATCTAATTAAGGCTTTTGATTCTGTTGATCACTGAGTTCAGTGCTTTTCTTTCATTTGCACCGAATAATATAACATACATATATGCTAACTAAAATTTAGCTCAGTGTCATTTGCACACTGACCCCTGTTTGACTCTCTGGAACTCTTCACCGACCACCATTTGACACTCTGGAACTACTCACTGACCCATAGGTGGTCACTCAGATCCTGTTTGACAACTCCTGTTGCAATGGAAAAGTGATGACTGCCATCTGCACAATATGATATTATGGCTTTGGCCACATTCAGTAGTGTTAATTCCGATAAGGGCAACAGTTGATTTTTTTGTTATTTTAAGTACAGAGCTCCTGTTGTCAGAATTGATAAGAAGAGGAGAAACCCACTTTTAAATTTTTTTTTTATTTACAATAATCTTCACTCTGTACTAGGCCCAAGAGCCACTTGAGGTAGATTGCATAGTAAACAGAACAGTTTATAGGCATATGTGAGGAAGATAACGGTTAACTCTAGACTGAACAGGTTACGATTATATTGATCCGGGTAACATCCTCTTGAGAGTCTGTTCCACAAGACAACAGTGAGAAGTTGCTTCAGTGGAACTTCTCACCAATGGAATACAAAGAGAATGGTTTGAAGAGGGTGGTTTGTTACAATGTGTGTGACCTGGCGGGTCTTAGCCGTGAAGTTTAGAACTGGTGGAACTAAGGAATGCAGTTTGTCTGATCACTTTCCATGGAAATTGCAATAGAGCAGTGAGAAGTTTCATCTGTGTGAAAGGGGTTGCAGAGTAGAAAATGATTCATTACCCAGAAACACATCAAAAAATAGTAAAGGGGTACAGGAAGAAAAGTCACTGCAGCAACACTGAATCTCTGTCCCTTCCACAACTAAATTAATTGATCAAATTATGAAATTTTGCAAAACAACAACAGGATTTTCTTTATTATGCACGGATTCATTTAGACTACTGTTGTCGTCTTATTTAGACTATGTGAATAGTCCATGTCTAGGAATATGTCTCATTTAGTTCTTATTTTAGTATTGCTCACTTGTTGCTCGCCCTTTTTCTTGTGCAATAGAATGAGAAATCTACCCACCCCCCCGATTAAATAAAAGCTTCGGGTCAGAATTCCCTGTAAGTTAGCCAAGATCAATATACAACTGTTGAAGACCAGAAGGCACATTGACTGGAATGTTGTGATATGAATTACAAAGATGAGGACAGTAGTCCACATGTAAATAGTGTAAATAATGCTAACTCCTCATCCCAGAAATTCAGACAGAAATTGTCTTCATCTTGATTGACATTGCAATGTTGTTATGGCTCTCGAACATTCTTTAATTGTCTGTTGTAGTTGGTGAACTGGTGAATTTCAAAACAATCCCTTTATTCAGTTCACAAGAATTGATTATTCTCATTCTGTTGTCTATATTGGAGGATATCTTTTATCAGTTAAGTGTTCCTACTAATGTTGCTTGGCTCTGAACCATCCTCATAAATTCAGAGAAAAGGATTTTGTTTCTATTTACTATAGTAGGCATCTGTTAATCTTGCAAGATAAAGATAGTGCCCTTGTTTGCTCAAAATTCACTCCTTTGGGGGTGAGACTGGAGTGACCACTCCAGGGCGCGGGCCTGAGTTAAGGTATATTGAGGCTGTCTTCTGACCAGACCACATGCTTCCCACCACCTCTTGGCCATACTAACAAGATGCAAAGGAATACAGGACATTACGTTTGGGGACTGCTTGGTTGCAGGAATTGTCAGAAAGTTGTCAGTGTTGACAGCCAACTGCCTTTGGAGCTCCACCCCAGATTTTCTGTTTGGATTTACTTCAATAGCCATTTTGATGTTTGGATGTGATTGCAAGGCAGCGGAGGTTTTTCTTCTCTTAGATGAACTGCCTACTTGGACTGTTGAGATCCATCTACCCTATGATGAGGCCCCAGTTTTTTGCCTTCACCCATTCTCTGGCTTGGAACTGGACTTGGTTGTCAGAGGCTATTTGAGATGCATGCCACAGAAGCATTTAATAGACACTGGAAGCTGACTATATGATTAAAAAATTACTGTTATTGAATGTTTTTTTATCTTGAAAAAGTATTGATGAAAAGTTGTTTTATTAAATGATCTCTTTGTGCTTCTATTTGATTTCCAGGAAATGATTATGGATAAAGTTGGTGATAAATATGTACCAAGGTATTTGGTTTATGATATTGTTAAATTTGAGGTGAGTAATCTTGATTTTTTTTTTTTAGATTGAAAACTGTTAAAAACAAACTTGCAAGTATAAAAAGAATGGTTTTTCCCTTGACACCTCTATTATTTGAAATACCTTCACCCCTTGGCAATATTAATTGTTTTAAGAAGAATTGTAATAAAACCTAAACATATGATGAAAGTGAGCTGAAAGTGAATAGTGAACATTATTTATTCATTAGGTTGTTAATTTATACTATTATGTTGTTTATTGGAATGGTTGGCAAAACATCGGCTAATTGCCAATCTATTCAAACTTTATAAAATAGTAAATAATAAGGATTTCCTTATAGTTAGTTCACATATTTTAATAATTTAGTAAATGGTTCTAAATCTATGAAAAAAAAAATTCGTATTTTTTTTCTTTATAAATTGATAAATGATAAGTATTGCATTAGTTTTAATACAGTTGCATTAATTTTTACAATGTTGTAAATATAAAATTATTTTTGTAAATAAACAATCTAATAGTGTTTAATATTTTTGTTGTAAATTCTCAACAAAAAAATGTATAACTTCACTTTCATATATTTAGGTTTTATTATAATTCTAATCATCATTTTTTAAAACAAACGTTGTTGAGGAGTGAAGGTAGTTAAAATATTAGTGGTGTCAAGGGAAAAACTGTCCTTTTGACACTCCTTTTTTTGCTGGATTGAAGGCGCAGGTTTGTCAAAATGTAACCGTTGAATGTGATTGCTTTTCAATTCTTGGTAATATGTGCTGCTGTTGTTTATAAAATATTGTGTTGATAAATTGAATCAATTTGCTTATTTGATAGAATATTGATTTTAATTTAAATATAAGAATGACTGTTCAAACATTGCACTCATTTTTCATGCCTTCACTAATTTATTTCTTCACATTCTTAGCTTTTTAAGAATACATTTCTTAAAAAATGAGAAACGAATTTGATTACGTTAGATGAAGAATTCCTTTTTTGTCATCTATTTTTTTTTTTTTAGAAATGTGTGCAAAAATAAATTGATCTTAAGTGGAAACAAGAATAGTCTGTATATTATTTTATATACATTAGTATGAAAAGAAAAATGTGATGTAGATTAGTGTAAAAAGAAAATTATCTTTATAAGCATTTTTTTTTAAACCTATTTGTTGTATGTATATATATCATATATATATAATAAAAAGGCTTAAACACTAATATTCCATGGTCATAATTTATTCCATTGGAATCATAAATACGATCCAATTCATCAGACCTACAAATTCAAAAAGAAAACGAAAAACAACTCCGGGAATAAAAAATAAAGTGAGAGTGTATGTATGAGAGTGTGGGATGAATGTTAGAGTAAAAGAAAGCTATAGAGAGGGGTAACAGGCGAAAGAAGAACAGGAACGTCTAAAGATGAAGCGGGGTGATTAAGATTTAACAGAGAGAAGTTTTAAAGAGGGGAGTCAAAGATGGTTTAAGTGAGAGAAATATGAATGTTCTCGGATGTCTAATACATTACAGATGTAACCGGAAAAGATACATTTTGTGGTGACATACACACACAATAGATGATATAATCTTAAAGGTCAGAAGATGAGAGAGGGAGAGGAAAAGAAAAGAAAAAGGGGTGGGGGAGAGAGATGGGGCGGGGGGGAACTAAAATCGAAGAGCGTTTATAAAAGGGCTGCTGTGTAATTAAGAAAATTTGACAAAATTAATATTGACTACAGGTTGCAAATCAAATATAAACATAAAAAAAACAAATATAATGATTATCTAATCTAGCAAAGACCTATATTTTTATGTTCAAAAACACATGCATATACACACATACACAACAACATATTAATATTTACACGTACATACATATAGGCGTGTATACACATATACATACATACATACACATATTCATATACATATATGTATATATACATACACACACACATACAAACATACACACACACACACACACACATATATATACACACACACATATCCATATACATACAGACATACAGACATACACATACGTGCACATAAACATAAAACACATACACATAAAACCTTACATCTCCATGCAATTACATACACCCATCTAAACAAATAAACAATGTATCCCTTTATCTATCCGTCTAACTATACATACATATACACCCATATACAGATATATATGAATACATACATACCAAAACATACACACACATATAAACACATCTACATACACATCCATACATCCATATATGCATATATATATATATATATATATATATATATACACATATATATACATACCCCTACATATATACACATATACACACACGCATTCATATCTATATATAAATCAAAATGTAAAATTAAAAAAAAAATGAAATTTAAAAAATTTTGTCTCAAAAAAAAAAAAAAATTAAATACATAGCGCATCACATAAACATGCACAATGATATATATAGATAAACATAATAGTCATACCATTAAAATGTATATGTAAAAAGTGTATTTAGGCAGCAATCCTTCTTTCATGTACATCTCATTTATTTATTTATTGTTAACAGTTAATATATTTCAACCTTGAAAATGGCTAAATGTATAGCCAAAAGTGATCGAATAAAAAGAACAATTGGACAGTTTTTATATAATTTATCAGCCAAAAAGAAAAACATTAGATCATATAAGAAATTGTATAAAAAAACTAAATCAAAGCACCTTGTCTGTCATATTCAATGAAATGAGCATGTATATATATATATATATATATATATATATATACACACAACATTACATTCACACACACACAAGTACACGGTGGGACAGATGGAATAAAATTCTGATAACCAAAATCACTATTCTTAAGAGTGCTCAATACCGAGTAGAGCAAATAATATTTATTCAAAATTATAACATATTTATACTATAACATCACATACAAATATATATAATATATAACCAGAGTACTTCAATGTGGTGTAATAGTTAGCAAGATTGTCTCGCTAGATTATGACTGAGAAGTGAGTTCAATCCTCACTGGGTGCTCTCTAATTTTCAGCTATGCTGAGTAAATCATTGTATATTCTATTACTAGTATTCTTTGTGCATATGCATGCTATAACATCACATACAAATATATATAATATATAACCATTGTATATTCTATTACTAGTATTCTTTGTGCTTTGCTTTATTTCAGGGAATTGATGTTGGAGGGACACATTTTGACCGTCGTTTACTCTGTATACAAAGAGAGATTATTGGACCAAGACACATGAAGATGCAACAAGGACTGCTTGACAAAAGCAAAGAACCTTTTAGTGTTCGTGCCAAACAGTTCTGGGATATTCAAACAGCCAGAAAAGTAGGTGAACTTTTTTCTGGAAAGATATTTTTTTTATTTTGTGTTCATTTCATGAATAAGTTGTTAGAATTTTGCTATTAAATCTAATATCGAAAATCTAGCAATTAATATTTTAGCAACTCTTAGTTCAAGTGAGTTAGAAGGTGGCTTTTGAATGACTTACAGTGATTTGTTTGAATATTAATGTTATTTGGGATCCTTGAATTTTGACACTTTTTTTGCATATTTTGATATTTTTTTTGCATATTTTGATAGTTTGAAAAAATAACAGTGCTGTTTTTCTAAGGTTTTGTAACATTTTTGTCATTAGTTAAAGTAAAGAAACAAAATACTCATATAAAAAGCAAAGTTTATCTATCTATATAGTGAGAAGGTGTTGTGGACATAAATATCAACATTGCATAATGACTGTCAGTTTTATGATTCATGATCTTTAAAGTCTCTCTTCTCCTTTTGTGAGGTCTATTCTTTTTTAATCCCCAATGGTCTCTTTCTCTCTATATATACACACACACACACACTGTAGAAGGATTAGCAGTACCTGGTCTGAAGAGTGCAATGAAGTGTGGAACTGACAGTCATCATGCTGTTTTCATTCTTATGCGCCCACATTGTCTATATCTACAAATGATACTGACCACACCTCCCCTATAAATATAAAAAATTTTAAACAACATATCAGATATATTTAGTTAGCATTTTTTTTTTCATTTTTAAACTGACATGGCACCTACCATCATATCAAGCCACAACTGTAATCCACACCCTGTTCATATTATTCTTTGCCTCTCCGCTCCTTCCTCAGTTACTAGCTCCACTAGCCTTGTTGAGTAATACTGACCTTATGGGTAATTTGGCTTTCTTTTCCCTCCCTGGTCAAGGCCAGTGTGTCATTTCAATAGGTTTGATTCAGGTTTCCCCAAAGCTTATGATATTGAGATTGATGAAATATAAACATTGTGTACTACAAACAAGATTATGTCATTCATGTCTTTAGTTGTGGTAACTTTTGTCTCTTAGTGTTCAAGGACAATGTTGAGAACCAGAGCCGGAATAAGAACTTCTTCAATAAATTTCACAGGTTTATTGAATATAAAAAAAGAAAAATAATAAACTGGTGAATAAAATGTCTCCCCCTTTTTGCTGGATGGTGATTTGAGAATCTAGCAGTAATTGTTATAAAATAGTAGAAGAAAGTGTCTATCAGGCCTGGTGGGTTCTTGTTTATATAGATGACCCCCCCCCCCCCGAATTTGACATTGATATATTTAATTTCTCCACTCCAATAATCTTAATCTTAGATGTTGCTCATAACCAGATGCCTTCTTTGTTTAAAAGAATTTGGGTTATTCTTTTCTGTAGGTATATATCAGTTTCTGACAGATAGTATGAATGTAGGTACCTTCAAAAATTTGCTAACAAAGAACATAATGAAAAAAGGTCCCAAACTTGATAAAAACAAAGTTCCATCATCAAAATGTTTATATTATTAAGAGGAAAGAACAAAGTATTTTTTGATTATTTTATTGAATTTTTTAATCCTTTCTAGCACATTTGAAAGTTTTGTTAGAAATCTTGTTTTACTTGTGTCAGCAGTGGGCCAAAGATTAGTATAGGAAATTTAGCACCTTTTTTACTATAAAAAAACATTGTTTTGGAAATTCTTGTGAAATTCAAATAAATGTTAGATCTTGATGAAATTTTCAGGACTTATTCACAAATGAATGAAATTATTTTTGAATTTTTAGAAAATCTTGTTAAAAATATTTTTCTTTTTACATTTGTCACCCCCCCATTTAATTTTATAAAATTTCTAGAAATTAAAATTCCACCCTTTTCATATTTATATTAGTTAAAAGTAGGACTCTTTGAAGAATTGAAATCAATTTGTTTTCGTCAAACAGAAATACCATTTACCGAAAACCTGCTCTGAATCGTAAAATAATAAAAAAAAAACAATAAAAATATGCCATTATTTAATTAGAAAAGCTTTTAATTGCTTTATAAATAAGATATATTAAGGATGCTATTGCTTTAAGAAAAAATCTTTTTTCAATGAATAATGAATTTTTTACAAGAATTGTTTACATTTTTAGAAGATTTTTAATTAGAATAATTAAGGTTTAAATCATTTAAAATTCTGTATTAACTTTACCCTTTTAGATGATATTATTAAGTGAAATCTATATTTACTAATCATAAATGGAAAAGCTTAGTACAATCCATCAAACACCAATATTTTTAAAAGAATTTAAAATTTATTTGCGTGTATAAAAATGCTGATACATTTTATATATTTTATCAGAAAATAAGAGCAATAACTGCAGTAAATTTACAGACAAAAATATTTAAAGTTCAATAATACATTAGATTACAGAGAATATTTTCTTAAATTTTTAAGATTACTGAGAACTTAAAAATTATATATAAAAGGAGCTCACATTAATTCAGCCCCCGTAGAACAACATTAGATAGATATCAGTTTGTCATCAAGCTGGCAAACCCATCACCTTAAATAAACAGCTACTGTCAGGTATTAAAAAATGCATTTCTGCAATATTTTAAACTTAAAGTAAATAATAGTTGTTTAAATCAGATTAATTATACTTTAAATCAGCTAATATTCCTAAGATAAAGTTTCAGAAAAGTATATTTTTTTTGGGGGGGGGGAAATTCTTTTAATAAAGTGAATTACATTCTGATGACTGGTGGCTAAAAATAATACCAAAATCAAATTTTTAGCAAAAAAAAATTCCTTCCAGTCAGTTTAAATTAGTTTTAAAATAGACCAAAGTATTTTGCTTATTGGAAATGTTAAATTTAATCTTTTCATTTTTATAAATAAAAAAATCTTTCTTGAAGCTTTTACATTAGTTTTAGTTTCAAGTTAATTTTAAACTTTAGGCATCACTTTTTCTGTGGAGGTACCTATATGAATGTAAACAAATCCTGAATTTAATTTCTCAGGACCAAAATATTCAGACAACACACTAATCATGTTTTCTTCTTATCAATGAGAAGTGGATAGTGTGGGGAATCTTGCCTTTGTTCAATTTTACTGAATTTTGGCTAGTTAATTATGGGTTTGATTCTCTTTGGAACCACTCTTAAATTCATTTTATTGTTGTAAAACATAATTTTTAACCTGTTTTTTTTTTTAATTTTTTTCTCAAGTCTTCAACCTACTCTACTGAGAGTTTTAATAATTATTATCCAATTATTTGTCTCCCCAAATTCAGCATCCCAACTCCAGGGTTTTGTAGAAAGATCTATCTGTCCACTCTTTAGTGGGTATCAGCAATTAATTGCTTATATTTCTCGATTTTTCTTTGTTATGTACTTATCATTGGTGTAAGTTTTTTCCGCATTGCTTGTATACTTGTGTGTCCATGCAGTCAAATGTGCATTCATGCATGTGTTCCCATCTGTGAATGTGCATACATGTAGTGTCATGATTATTTGTGGCTGTTTATTTGTAGCATTTTCTCTAGACATGTTATCATTTTAGTACAACTAAAAAAATATGTAAAAATTATGAGAATTCAATGTATTTATTCACGCTAACAGAATTTTGGCCAAAAAGGAGTCAATAGAAAACTAGATCTATATTTTCAATAAATCAAGTAAAGTCAAGGTTAGTCAGATAAATCACTTGAATTTTTATTGACTAGAGTGAACATTTTAATGTAAGGGAGGTAATTTAGTTAAAATTGAATTTGTCAACAATACTTCACCAAGGACGTAATAAGCAGAAACTACAAATTCTTGATGCCATCTTTATTAAAAGATTAAAACCAATACTTAACAAAATTAATTATGAGTATAGTACAAATGTTCTGAAGTATATAGTTCTTTAGAAATATCTACATTAAAACTAAACAGTTTTTAAAAAACAAACTATATCTTTATAACGAGTTCAATTTTTAACTAAGTTACCTCCCTTAAATTAAAATATATACACACACACACACACAAATTAAATAAATATAGATATAAGCAACCATGAATGCGTGCGATCATGCCCATATATAAATTTGCAAATAGATATTTTATTTAATTTTTGGTATTAACAAAACAGTACTCAATGTGGTATTACAGAGCTATAAAGTATATATTAATAAATATTCATATTACCTTACATTCATAGTACAACTCAGAGTTTCATGTTATGAAAAATTCATCTAAACTCCTAAATAAATCACTAAAAATTGCTGCAAAAGGAATTATGTAACCATTTTGAAATAGTAATTAAGAAAGCTGATAAAGCAAACATCTTTGTTGTTTTAACTAAGTCTGACTACAACTCAAAAATTGAACAGTTAATTGATGATCACACCAAATTTAGAAAACTTACTAATAATCCTACTACTCAGCTAAAAGTGAAAATTAATAAATTAATCACAGCTAGCAATGCAGAACAAGACAATCTAAAACTTACCAAAATAATTGGAAACTGTAAACCAGAATACATTTACGGTTCTATCAAAACACACAAACCTAACTTTCCACTTCACCCAATTATATCTCAGATTCCCACTCCTGTCTACCAACTAACTAAAATGCTTAACCAATTAATTACACCATACATACCTAAAAAAATACAGCATTAAATCAACCCTTGAACTTATACAAATATTAAAAATCAAAAACCTAATGATGAAACCATAGCATCACTTGATGCTGAAAATCTGTTCACTAACATTCCATTATTATTAAAAATATATATAATAATTCATCTCTGCCCCCATTAAAAATTAAACCTAAAATATTAAGAAAATTACTTTTAACTTGTACTACTGAAGTCCTATTCTATGATCACAGAAATAACGTATATGTGGAATGTGATGGCATTTCTATTGGTTTACTTCTGGGTCAACCTTCAGTAACTTCTACATGGCCAACCTAGAAAGTAATATATTTAGCACCACCAAGAAACTCTACATCTACCTAAGATATGTAGATGATATCTTTATTTTAGCTTAAAACATAGAAGAAATAATGGAACTCCAAAAAAAACTTTCAAAAAACTCTGTCCTCAAGTTAACAAACTTAACAAAGATAACAAAATCCCTTTCCTTGACATTTTAATAGACACAAATAACAACACATTTACTACCCCCCCTCATATAAAAAAAACAACCAGCAAAAAGTCTTGAACTCTTACCTATGAGTGAATTTCCAGATTACTACAAAATAGCACTTATACAGAATTTAATTAACCAAGCAAAAATTAATCCCTCTACAAAAAAGATTTTCTACACTGAACTAAAAAATATTAAACAGACTCTCATTAATAATGACTTCCCAAACCACATTGTAGATGAACAAATAAGACGATTTATCAAAAACCTCAACACACGTCAAATAGAACATGGTACTTCCTCAAAGGATCCTAAATATATCAAACTCTTATATTGTAACCAGATGCATGCTAACTACAAACAGGATGAGAAAATCATAAAAAAAAACCTCATTTGTACTAATATATCACCCATGAATCCTAATAAGAAAATAAATTAATCAGAGACAAATTACAATACAATCAATTTAATTATTTGCAATAACTCTTCCCCCATCAACTGATGTATTACGTAAAATCAAAATTATATATCAATTCAAATGTCCTTTGGGAGAATTCATCTCTGACAGAAAAACAAATATATATGTTGGATATATGACAACTACATTATCAAAATGTTTTACTATACACGTCTGACTATTCGTCCATTGTGAGACATTTACACTAACATTCCTGTCTACATTCACAGTATAGAAAAATACTGATTGATAACACAACTATCCTACACCAATAAAATAATGAATTAAAACTACAGATCCTTGAAGCAATCTACATTAAAAAAAAAATGGAATCTGACACTGAATAGAATCAGCTATAAATAATGTGATAATGTTCCAAAATGCCTATAAAAAGAACAGTTTTCATGCTTTAATATGTACTTGACCATGACATTCGAACATAAAAAAAAAAATTCCATAGTGGATAATTTTTTCATGTTCTAATGAATGCTAAAGCATAACTGTCAGCCATTGCATTTAAACGCAAAAAGTAAAAAATCAGTAATGGATAGCTACACATAATTTTTTGTCTTACTTGTTGCAGCCTCTGATGATCTCAGAACGAGATGGAAAGTACTTTGGGAAATAAGTGATTTTCACTGTTTTTTGCATCATTTGATTGTAATACACGGAAAAATATCCGTGAATATGAACGGATTATTCTAAAAATATGCAGATATAATGTTTGTAATTTATTTAATCAGACATGCCTAAAAGAGAATTTGCTGCCTAAATACGTATATATATATATATATATATATATATATATATATATATATTATTTTGGCAGCATGTTTTCACTAAGACATGTCTCATGAAATAATTTAGACAAGTTTTGTCTACTTATTTTTAATATGATCCTCTTATATTCACAGACAAGCTTCTTAATATCCTTATTAAAGGGAGAAAGTAAGTTACTTTACTGATGCATATTCATTTATTCCGAGTACTTTTGACATTAGCAAAATATCATCTTCAGAGTTTTATCTGAGACAAATTTGATTAAATTTTTTTATTTGTGAAGGGAAAAAAACATTTTTTTAAAAATAGATATTTTAATAACTTAGTTACTTCCCTTGACATTACTGCATGAGTATGATTACATCATAAAATTTAAAAATTATACAGTACATAAGTTTAGCATTTTACACTTCACAAATAAAAAAATTATCCTAGTTTGAATGGACTATGATAGTGGGTACCATACAGATGGAACCATTCATTTCTGAATTGTAAGGACATTTGACATCCCTCAACTAATGATATGGAAGGCATTACTGATCACCAGGGATAATTCAGTCGTTGACCATGGGTATTCAAAGATTATGATTTGAGGTGTCTTATTAAAATTATGTATGGTAACAGACAAATAGCTTTGGCTTAAATCACATCTGTATTCAATACAGATTCATATTCAAGTACGTAATTTTATTGTTCTTTAGTTTCTATTAGAAATAGAGGGAGAAGGCCCATCAAGGAACCTCTGTTAAGGCCATGATGCTGGAAATGGTGCCTCAAGATTTTAACATTGTTTGTTAGACCCTTGAAGATGCAATATGTGATGTGGTCTGATGAGTCATGGTTCTAGTTTGGGTTGATGGTAGGATTTGGATGTGGCATGGACGCCTTGAAGTTCTGATATTTATGCTCTATTCAGTTTTACAATATGCGAAACTACAGTTGTTTTTTTACAGGGCTCAATCATTAAACAAAAAAAACTTCTTCTTCCAAATGAGAATAAAATTCTTTTTTCTTTTTCTTTTGAAAAGCTGTTAGATGGGAAATTTGCCAATGAAGTGAGTCATGTAGTTGATGGACTCATTTTCCAGCCTGTTGCAGGGGTAATGTTTATAATTTTTTCTTGCTTTCTCATGAAACTTAGACTCCTCCACTTAAAATAAAGACCAACATCTTGCATGTAAAAGTATTGGTTTATTGTCTTGTATGTGTTTTCAGTTTTATATATATATATATATATATATATATATATATATATATAGTTCACAATATTTAGCTGTATATTCACTTTTAAGCATTTGCTCATAACTTTTAGAATATCTCAGAAAATGCTAATTTGTCTTTCATTAAACCTATTGGTGAATCTGAAATATTTTAATGTAAATCAACATTTTCTTGGTTTGCAATTTCCAAGCTGGGAAAAGTAATTTAAAATTAGTTTTACATAATTTTTCTACTTACAAATAGAAAAAGTTATATTTTTAAAATGTATTTTGGATATGTGGTTATGTGAAAGATTTACGTAAAAACACTAAAAATGTCTTTATATTAATCTACTCCAGTTTTTAATATTGTTGATTATTTTAAGTAAATAATTTCTGATCTGGGCCAGTAGTTTTGAATTTCTTTTCATTAACTGTCAGAGTTGGGTATTGTGCATTGAGAATAGATCAGTTAAAACAAAATTTCTGGATTTTAATGAATTATCTAAAAAAAAAAAAATCTATTTTAGTTTTTGAGTGGTCAACTGAAATGATCATGTCAGCTATTTGACTGTTTTTGATTCTGATGTAAAGATCTGATCATTTAGCCCAGTGGTTCCTAAACGGTGCAGTGTACCTCATAGGTGTGGCCAAAGAGGATAGCAGATGAGGCAAAATTGATTGTACCACAGCCAAAGATTTAGAAACAGTTTAAAAAATTCATATGCCAAAAATTAATGATTTCAAAATTTAAAATATGACAAATTACTTGTAATTGTATGTATGAGTACCAGTATAAATAGTTATAAATAATTATTGACTGATTTTATTATTGTGATATTTTTGCATGATATCAAGTATTAAGAATATAGTAACTAAGGTCTGCAAATTGGAAGAGAGAGTTATCAATGATAATGTTCTGACTTCGAATCCACGGTTATCTTCCTTTAACCCTCTGTTTTTACTTTTTATTGCATAAAATTTGGTGAGGCACAAGCAAATTTTATTCTGAAAATGAGACCCAGAGAAAAAAGTTTGGGAACCACTGATTAAGCCTGAAAGGGGTGGGGGATCTGCTTCAGTTTCAGAATCTTTTTTTTTTATTCTTCAAGATGATTATTTTTATATTGTTTGTTGACAAACGCAAGTTCAATTTATCTTTTGAGTATTAACAACTGTTTATTTGTTTATTTTCAGAGATACATGCATGGGCGTAATAATGATATTCTTAAGTGGAAACCTGCTTCAGTGAACTCTGTTGATTTTAAACTAATGATTTACAAAGAAAACAAACCAGGGTAAGGCAGTTGCTTTGCATCTTCACTTATATTGGACCTTAAACATGTGGCTATTTTTCTGCAGCCTGTAAAGAACCATTTTCATGACCAATTTTTTCCTCAAATTTTAATGAGCTTGATAAATTTATCCCTTTGCCCCTTCTTACTTTTTTAGTAGCACTAATGAGCTTGACCTAACCACCAAGAGCAAACAGATGGTCAATCAATTTTAAGGTCATCAGGTGACTTTTCAATTTCCTCTCCAAAGAAGAGAAGAAAACTGAACCTCATTATCAGCACATATTCTTATTCAGGTACCTGACGAGAGAGTATAAATGTACTTTGTGACAATGTCTCATTTTCTATTTTTTAATTATACTAGAATTTTTTTGCTGATGCATGTTGAAATCCTCACAGTATTTAGTATTGTTGAAGTTATCACTAACATTTTTTTGTTGAGATTTACAAACTCTACATTTCATTCAATTTCGCAAATCAGTCGATGAAATTTGAATACGCTGATTTATTTGGAAAAATACATTCACAAAAACCCTAGTTTGAAGTTTAATAATTTCTTTAATTTTATAGCACTGCTTGGTAAACAATATTTTTAAAAAAAAATTCTTACAATTTCTTGCTCTTAAGCATGCAGCATACAACTGGCCGTGTGTAAATATTTCTTTCTGGAGCCAAATTTCAACTTTTTAAAGCATTTGGTTTTGTGATTATAGTTCTCATAAACAAAGTGAACTGGAAATGATTCTTGTATATATAAAAACTTAAAGAAAAGATATGTAAAAAAAAAAAAAAATAATATTGCATTTTTATTAAATAACTGTTATTTTAATCATTAAATCATTTAAAAAAATTTAATGAAAATTTATTCTACTAATCTATGCACCTTAGTAAAACCAACTGTATGTTGTACCCCCTTACCTGTTTGCTCTTCTCCCCAAAATTTAGTTTCGTTCGGTCAATGTATGGCTATTTTAGAGGGTGTGATGGATGGAAAAACTAATGAAAGCCATATAATTTTATATGTAGATAACAAGAAATAAATTTGACAGCTCAAATTATGGAAAGTGGAAATAAGTATTGAATTTTTATATTCATTATACAAATTTTTTTATATAAGATGAAAGAGGATCAATTTTGCAACTTATAATGGCATGAGGAGGTGTAAACACAATAGAAAATGAGGATTTTTTTTCATAGTGAAAGAAGGAATAGATCTGATCTCATATTAGGGTGAAGGGAATACATGAGGTAAAAGACAACAAATACAAACCACACAAAACCATGTTAGAAAGAGGTTTTTAAGAGAAGATTGTTAAATAAACTGAAATTTCAAGGAAGAAACATGTTTTTGGTGAATTACAAAATTGAAACAAATTCAAGAAAAAAATGTCAACAATATCAAAGCAAAGGAAAATTGCCAACAAGAACAGGAACTTTTTAAGAAAAGTGGGAATATTTGTATTTTTTGACAGAGGTAAATAAAGTTGTTGATTGTTCTGTATTTGAAAAATTACATGTAGGTTTTTAGTTTTTCTTGATAATCATGAAAATGGCTGGAATATGTGTGAAATCTTGCTTGCCTGCACCACCTCTTTCTCTTTTATAATTTCTATCACTCAAAATTACCAACTGATTTAATTAATTTTTGTTTGTTTTAATGATTAGCAGTAATCCAAATTTAATCTTATTAATCTAGCTATCAACCCCATATATTTTTTAACTGTTTTTATATTTAGTAATATTGGTAACAATGTTATCTTAAATTTTTAGATGAAACCTTTTCAGTCATTATGGTTTTAATTTTGAATAGTAATTTTCTTCACTTTTAATTGCTTTTTATCAAGTAAGGAATGTTGTCAACTGAACTTTATATATTATTTTATATTTATTTTATTATTTTAATATATCTTATTTTTTTATAGGATGCTACCTGAAACAAAAGGCTATTTGTTTGTTGGTGGAAAGGATAGTCCATTTGCTGAGATGAAGGTTTATAAGTTTTTTCTTTCATTTAAGTTAAATGAAATTATTATTTAATACTACCTCTGTCCTGAAATAGTAGTTACCTTTTTTTGTATGAAATATGTTCTAAAATAGTTGCTATATAGCAAATAAATGTTATATTAGTAAATAAAATCAAATAAACTCAATGAAAATTAAATTGTTTATTAATTGTTTATAAAAATTATTTATTAATTCAGTGCTTGCCACCATTAATTTTAAGAAACAAATAATTTAAATTTAAGAATTTTTCCTAAGCATTCAAACTAGGGCTACATTTAATCTTGTGCATTGTTTTGTTAGCCTATTTCAAGCTTAATCTTATAGGAATTATTTCCATTTCACAACATGATATCCTCAATCCATGTGTTCTTAATGTCAGACAGAGGCAGAAGTTTTGAAAGTTTCCAGTTTAGCTTACCTTTGAACTGTATGCTTTAAAATATCTGTTGTTTTTAAAGAAATTATTGGTCTCAAGTTGAAATGCAACTCTGTGATATCGCCATTAATACATATAAATATAAGCATCAATAAATGCTGCTAATAAGCAAAAGAAAAATATGCAAATGCAACAAGGATTAGAGGACAGTAGTTGTATAAAAATAAGCTATTTAATTAGAGGAAGGTTCATAATATATCTATCTATATCTATATATATATATATATATATATATATATATATATATATGAATTTAATTAAAAAACGGGCAACAATTTTATTTCCCCAGGAAAGGGATTTTTCCTGGGAAAATGAAATATAATCAATGGACCATTAAGGTTGTCTGTTTTAATTAAACTCATATTCGCTCTGTTTTACATTGAGCTCTCTGGATTACATCCTTCTTGGGATTATCCATACAGATTACCAAACATTTAATTATCTAGCTATATATATATATATATATATATATATAAAAGATTTATACAGATATAAAAGTTATCCTTAGCTGATTGGTATTATAATCAACACCTCAACTCTAGAGTTTCGTATATGAAGTCTCTTGTTCAGTCCACTTGTCAGGAGGTTTCAGAAATATATATATATATATATATATATATATATATATGGTTTTATACAAGTAGATTACAAATTTATTTTTCTTAATTTTCTTTTTAGGTTTCTCGAGAAATGAAAGAACTTAACAACAAAATTATTGAGTGTGCTTGGGATTCTGAGAAACATTGTTGGAAATTCATGCGACAACGAACTGACAAATCCTTCCCTAACAGCTACAACACAGCCATGGGTGAGTATAATGCCCCTGACATGTTATGTTTTTTCTGTCCTTATTTTATTTTTTCATCTAAGTGACATAAAAATAATTTGGGTTATCATCTATATGAGGTTTTATGAAAAAGATTCCAACCTGTTCATACTGTGAGTGTACTAGCTAACTGAAATGCATGTACAGATAACATTATTACCTAGCTTACTGAGTCAGTCTGCCAATAGACACTTTTTTAAAATTATTTCACCCCAATTAAAGCAATAAAGCCACTAAGACACAATGGATTTATTGAGTGTGAAAGAATATAACAAAAATAGAAAAACATTATTAAGGAGAGAGAACAATAAAAACAAGAATTAGATAGACAAAAGATAACGATTGATATTACATTTAAATTTTTGAAGATCAAAGTTGACTGGAAAATAAGAAGCCCAAACAGAGTTCCATAAGTGAGAAGTTAGGAGAGAAGAAACTGTTAGCATATAACTTAGGGTTGCATCTAACCATTTCAACCTTGCCATCAGTCTAGTAATGCACTTAAATTCATAAAGTCTATCTACCAAAGAGGAAAGCTCATTAGAACAATTAGCATGTAAATATTTATAGAAAAGGCACTGGAAAGCTATGTTACAGCAGTGTGAAAGTGACTGAAGCAGAGATGCCAGATCAGGATTCTTTGTATTTTATCAAGAATGTCAATACATAGAAGCACTAGACCAAATGTGACAGAAATAATCAATGCATGGCTAAATGTTAGACTTATGTTATCTACTTGTGTTCAGTTATTGTGTGGTTTTTGTAGTATTATATTGGAATGGCTCTGCAATCTTTACAATGGCTGATAAATTTGCTCAATGTGTTTGAATTTTATGTGAATCTTGGCAAATCCTCTGCCGAGTCTCTCAATATTTTATCAGCCTTTTGGTAAATATTCGTTGAGGTTTTCAAATGGCATGCACATTTCAAGGACAGTCTAAATATCACTTCAGTATGTTGAGTGAAAAAATATTTGAACTCAGCTCTCACACATGGATGAAATCAGTTAGTGAGCTGTGGCTAACTTTATTCCCTGAATGGGATCGTTATGCAGTTCCCTAGAGGACTCTTTTGAGACATAATGGTGATCATATTTAAATATATGTGATATTTATATGTTAGCAATGGTCTACCTTTTTTGTGTAAGACTAATCTATCAGCTGCATTCTGAGACCAACTTGTAAGGAAAATGTAAACAAAAAGAACACCTATTTAGAATCAGAAAGAGACAGCTGAAATTTCTTAGACGCATAATGAAGAAGGAGGGTTTTGGAAAATTTGACTCTCACAAAACATTGGAGGCAAAAGGGATAACAGAAAGCAGCTGTTCACGTACCTGACAAGCATATGTGAATTGATAGCAGAACAGTGCATGGGGGAGATGATAAACAGGCAAACATTAATAAGATGTGCAAAGGATAGTAAGTTGTGGAGAGCCAGAAAAAGAACCTTTTATGTTTTAATTTTTAACACTAATTTTTACCATTTCAAGAGTTGTTTGAACAATTCCTCACATTCTTTCATTTTAGCTGATCCATTCTAAGGCTTTCTTCAGGCATTTTATTCCTATAGTAAGAGAACATGGTTTCTCCTTTCTCTTTGCAACTATCATATTGCCTAGTATTTACCAATCTTCTCAAGAGAATACTTAAAAAAAATGTTTTTGTGTACTTAGAGATATTTTTATACTGTCCCAAATTTTGTTCTGAAGTACTAAAAATTTAATTAAAAATTCACAAAGTAATTGTGATTTTTGGTACATTTTTCAAATTGAGTTTTTTGTCTTAAGTGTGTTTTATACAAATTATAATTTTTTTCTTTACGAGTAAACAACTCTTCACATTATCATTTTTCATAAATATCTCTGGTTCTATTGTATACAGACTTCATTTTTTTTATATCAAAATTTTCTCCAATTTTCTTTAATTTTTTTTTTAATCATTTCATCCCAAGCAGGACAGGACAATAAAGTAACTAACATGCAAGAGGTTACTGAGTGTGAGAGAATATGAGAAAAAGAAAAACATTATTAAGGAAAACAGTAAAAGAACAGGAATTTAGAAGAAAGAAGATAAGATTGACATTGCATTTAAATTTTTGAAGATCAAAGTTGACTGAGAAGCAAGAAGCCAGATGAGACTTTCACGAGTGAGAAGTTTAAGAAAAGCAGCTGTTAGCATAGAACTCACGGTTACATCTAGCTGTTTCAGCTGTCAAATGATGAAACTTTACTGCCAATCTAGTATTGCACTTAATTTTATAAAGTCTATGTACCATAGAGGAAAATTCATCAGAACAATTACTATGAAAGTATTTATAGAAAAGATATAGAAACAATGTTAGAAGTAAAGATATACAAGATAGATTCTGGAGAGAAAAATTGTCTAGAACTGCACAGTGAACCAACTTTGCTAGCAGCAGACTTAGCAATTGTCTCAATGTAATCTTTCCACTTTATGTGAGTGGAAAATGTTAGCTTGAGAAGGTGCAATGCCTCACTTTCATACTGATGAAAGGCAGAAAGTGTTCTCACAGATGATTAATAGAGAACAGTTTCATTTAGGTGTTAAAATTAATAAGCCCCAGTTAACATCTCATTTTTGAGATCAGCTGCCATTTTGATCTTATCGAACTGATCAGACTTACTATTGAGACAGGAGCAAATGGCTGTGTCACCAGCATAGATACCGAGTTGAGAACTGATGTCATCAGGAAGGTTGTTGATGAAAATTAAGAACAATGGAGTTCTAAGGCTGCACAGAGGATGCCAGAAAATGGATTGGCTAAAATATGTTAATAAAAGGAATAGATTATTGTGTGATTCCACCATTCTTCTAATTTGTTTTTTTCTTTTGTTTTCTCCTCAGGTGTTTTTAACAGCATCATGTATCCAGTGATCAAGGAAGTTCTGTTAAACACTATAGAAATGGGGCGGTGGATGCCACCTGCTCGTCATCCGCCTGCAGAGAAAAGAAAAGCATTACCAATTTCAAGGGATCAGGAACTAATGCCACCTCCCAAAAAAGTATAACCATCACCCCTATTACCACCTTTTTCCACCACCACCACCACCACTACTATTCTTTCATGATCACCATTTTACATCTCCTCTCACAACCAAATTGAAAGGGCGGGGGGCGAAAATAATTTTTTTTTCTATCCTTCCTCAGCTATTTGCTGCGGTAGAAAAACATTTTAACAACTTTTCTTTTAAATATTTAAACTTGAATATTTTTTTTATCTCATTTTATTTTATTTTAGTTTTTTTTTTTTTTTTTTGGCTTAAGTTTTTTAAAAATGTTTTGTAGCATTTCACTAACATAAAAACACATTTTGAAGAGAAATAAGAATAGGAAAAGGAGAGTAGTCTCTAAATGTCCTTAACTACATGACTTGCCTGAATTAACTACAAGGTTTGAATCATTATCACTTGTAGATATTTTTGGTACTGCTTGTTGTGAAGACCTATTTTGAGATTATTATTAACCCTCTGTTAGTACTGTGGGTCATTGTCACAGCATTAATACTGTGGTGTTTTCAAACAACCCATTTAAAATATTACTACAGGTATATCAGTTATTGCTTAATTTTCTTATTGAGTGGTCTTTCTATTTTTTATAGGATAAATAAAAAAAAAAGAATAAAAACAGATCAAAGTTTTTATTCTGAAAAATCAAATTAAAAGGCCAGTATTAAAAAAAAAAATAAGTTTGCAAGTTCCAAAAGTTCAAATATGTAAAGGAAAAAAAAAATAGATTTCCTTCTATTTTCAGTAAAAAATAAAACAGTAAAATGACTAAAACCAGAAACTCTTTGGCAGAAATATTGGGAAAGCTATTTGACTAATCATGAAAATTTGACTTGCCACTTGCTAAATATTAAGGAAACAACATTTTGTAGGGTGTCTGAACACCCCACATGACTAACGGAAGGTTTTATACTTCTGAAAGATTTCTTTAAATGCATTTAGAAAATATGAGGAGAGAGAAGGAAAACAAAAACAACTTTTTTGTTTGTTTTTTTAATTGTGAAAATTTCATCATTATGTTTCTTTCAAGTTTGTGTATTGTAAATTCTAAAGCTGAAGACAATACAGTTAATTAAAGTGGTTGATGAGAACGAGAACTTAAAATATGGGTCACAAAACTAGGAACTTTTCTAAAAGAACAAACCAGTTTGTCATTGGAAAAGATGTTTTAATTTTTTTCTTTTGTTCTTTCTTTAACCATTTAGCACCCAACATTATTACTTCTCCTTCCATTATATATATATATATATATATATATATATATATATATATATAGTGGCTCCTCAAATATAAACTGCAGTAGCCCTGATCTCGATTTAAGTCAAGTTTGTTTTTTTGCTGTTGCTCTAGCAGGATGTGACAACACAATCGTGAAATTTAAATATGCTGTTTGGCCATTGGAGTCAACAGCAATGTCAGGACAAATGCTTTCTTTGGTGACTGAAGTTGACTAAAGAGTGTTTAAGGTCAATCCTATTCAATATAATGGGTGAATGTGAGAGATAAATGGACAAAATTGAATTGACTTACCAAAACTTTAGGCATAAAAGCAGTAGACATAACAATACCTGTTTACAACAAATGCTTGCTTGTTTTTTTTAAAACATTAGATTTAAATAAGTTTGGTCTCTTTTTGTTTCTTTTCTTTTTTTTTTTTAAAAAAATAACATTGAAGCCCTTTTGATAAACTGGAAATATACAATTATAGAAGATCTGAACTGACCAAAAATAGAAAAATGTGTTGAAACACCAAAAATTAACCTTTATAGAGAAATTATTTGAATATTTATTTTTCTTATGCACTCATTCTTATTTTGATATTTGTCACATTTTCGTTAGTTTCTGATTTTTTTCTTTCTTCAAACAAAGTGGACGTTTTGATGTTGTCAAAAGAAAGAGGACTGCTTTTCTAAGTTGTTATGTGCACACACACACACACACACACACATACATACATACATACACAGATTTGACCCGTCCCTGATTGCTCCCACTGCAAGATATAATTTAGAGACCAAAGAAACTATTTCTTGTAGAACTGTAGATATTACTTGAGCTTTGTTATCACTTGAAGAGCACATTTTTCTTTCTGATATAAAAACAATAAAAAAATTTTTTAATTTAATGTGAGTATGATCTCACAAGCTTTCCTCTTTGTTTGGAAATTATTTACCTCTGTAATTTTTTTTTTATGAATTGAAGAAAAGGTTATATCAAAAACATGTTAATACTGGTGAAAAGACCACTGATGTAAAAATGAAACCTTTTACAAGAGTTATAGATAATAGGTTTTTACCTACTGTTGTAAGGATTAGTGGTCTTAACCAATTTTTTTTTTTAAGTATCTATAAAACTTAATTTTAATGAGTGTTTGCTGTTTTCTGAATTGTTGAAAAGCTTCAGAATCTTGTTTGAAAGGTTTTTCACTCATTCAATGTCATTTGAACTCTGACCTTCCTTTCTGCAAATATAAATAGTAAAGCAGACAAAAGCTGATTTTAATTGCTTTGGTCTATGGTATAAACATAAAGGAACATTTCCTGCAGGAGGAGTTCTATTGTCTATTTAAGAGTCCCTTTTTTGTATATAATGTATAATTACCATTTGATTAACTTGTGAACACTTATTGAATATATTATAAAAAACAACATGTTTTTTTTTTCTTTTTTTAAAGGTATTAGTTATTGGTCAATCTGTTGTTGTGGTGGTAACATTCGTGTCTTTTGCCATGAATTTTATGCTCTCCATGTTTCCACCATTTATAGCCCACTTATCTTTTTTTTCCTCTTTCAAAGTGTTTTATTTAAAAAAAACAAAAACAACATTTATATAAGAAAAGTCAACAGATACTTTCACTATGGGACAGAAGCTTAAAAAAATGAGAGAAAAAGAATTTTCAGTCCAATAGGATATATGCAAAAAGACATAATTGGATAAAGACACTGGCTTTATTGTCACAATTTTCTGATGACTGTTTTCACTGTTGAAAAAAAAAAAAAATACAAACAAACAAATGAAGCCACTACCAATGGACAAATGCATACTCAGAAGAAAATATTTAAAAGAAAAAAAAAATATTGTTTTGTTTGTACTGACAATTTATTCACTCTAATAAAATAGTTTCAATCAAAGAGGAGAGAGAGGGAGGGAGTAAAAAAACAAAAAAAAAAACAGCAAGAAAAAAAAAAAAAAAAAAAAAAAAGAACCAATCCTAAGAAACCAACTGATGAATATTTACATTTTGAGGATTAAAAAAAAACAAAAAACAAAAAAAAAAATTTCTCTGGATTTCTTCAAAGCATTATGTTTATTTGTTATTTTTTTTTGTTTCTTTTTTGTCTTTCTCAGTCTGCCTTGCTTTACTTCTAAATATCTGTTGGTAGAGCCCAGTAAATTTTTTCAATGTTTTCTTCAGGATTTCTTTTCTTTTCTGCTTTGTTTTTTCTCTCATATATGTACACACGTACAAATGAATGGCAAAGTGGAAAAATTGTTTCTGACACATTTTCATCAGACTAAAGTAATGTTCTTATTAGTAGAATTATCTATGTATAGTGTAAAGTGGGGAAATATCAATGTAGATGTCAGTTATAATCATGCACTGGTAATGTGATAATGCTAAATTTGAAATTTTTTAGTTTAAAATTATTATTTTTTTGTTTTGTTTTAACACCTGATGTGTCTGGGTGGAGCCAAGCCAGTTACATTCAATTTCCTTATGCTTTTGTTCTTATTGTTGTTATTTTGAAATATCCCACATTATGACAAATGGGAAAATCTGCCAAGAGAGTTGAAATGCTGTAAGAAACTGGACGCAAATTTACTGTGGATGATTTCACAACCCATGCAATTTCTATACATTTTTGCCTTGGTAAATTACTTTCTCTTTTAATTATAGCAATGTTTTTTTTTTTTAAATTTTAAAATCGAAATCATGATTAGACTGATTACAATGAGCAACTAATGTATTGAGTGTGTTGCATTTTTCCACATTGTCATTCAGTTGGCCAACATTGTTCTGATATATAAAATTTATATCATATATATATATATATATATATATATATATATATATATATATATATATATATGATTGCTCTGCTTCTGTGCACTGATATTTTGTGACAGGTTTTACTTAAATGTGTTGGACATGTATCATACCCATTTAATGCAATACAATTCAGATCTTTGAAGTATTACCTCCATTGATACAACATTAGAATATTGCAAACATTTATTCTTGACATAATCTCAATATTTATTTTGTTATTCAAATGCTGGAATGATATCCACTGCTCATTAAAATGTCCATTGAAATGCTAAATTTAATAATTGCAGCTGATTGTTCACCCCCCCACTTTTTTTTTGTTGAAAACTTTGGGTTGAAAAAGCGAGTTAGATTTGTTGCTTCCATTAATAAAAATAGTGCTCAACATAAATTTTTCCTATTAAAAAAAAAAAAAATAACACTTTCTGAATTTCTGGTATGAGGAGTTATCCTTATTGATATTATTTACGGTCAGACTAATATCCTTATCTTTGTTGTTATAATCACCCAATTGTCTTCTGTCTGAGTTTCTAGGATGAGGGGTTATCAACATTTATGTTACTTATGCTCTGTCTAATATCCTGATCTTTCCTGTTATCTGGTTTTATAGCCCTGATATGTTTTTATTGCTGAGCAGGATTAATTCCAAATATCACTTGAAAGTTTTAGAATCAGTTTTTATTAAGTCCTACTAGCTGTCTCTTTGTAAGCAGAGGGAGTTGTTGATGATCTTAAAGGTAAATTAGCCTTTAAATGTTATTTTTTTTGCATATAGCATTTGTCTTTGGTGTTATATTTTTTAGTCACTGTGCACATTTTTGTCCTCGACCTTTGCTCTGATGATAGAGGACTGGTTTAGCTGTCTTTTTTAATTGTCTTTTTTCGATATTACCATTGTTACAGTAATATATTTTTTGTCTATCTTTATGAATTGTCTTTTAGTGAGAACTTCCCTTGACAAACATCATCTAGGTTTTACTTTATCACCAAGTCTCTCAAGTCAATATCCTGTGAAAATGTTGACAGATATTGACTATGCAGATGATCTAGCTATCATTGCAGACACCATTACCAATGCCAAAGTTCTACATCATCTAGAAAATGCTGCCAATGATGTTGGACTCTATATCAATGCCTCTAAAATTGAATTCATAGGCAAGGATAAATACAAACTGTCTCATATGAATCAATAAAATCTGATGAATCTTTTACATACCTAGAAAGTGAAATAAATTCTACTGAAAAGAATGTGAAAATTCGCAGCGCTAAAGCTTCGGATGCTTTGAATAAAATGGATGCAATCTGAAAATCTTATCTAGCAGAAAACCTCAAGTGGAGATTCTTTCACGCCAATGTTGAACTGGTGTTAATGTATGGTGTCATTGCTTGGACATTAACTAAAGCCCTCGGATGCTAAGAGCTACACTTAAAATCTTTTGGAGATAACATCCAACTAAATCACAGCTCTATGGACCCATCTCTGATATTTCTACAATCTTATACAAATGCAGAATGTGCTTTGCAGGACACTGTTGGTGAGCAAAACAAGAATTTGAGAATGATCTCCTTCTTTAGACACCTAGTCATGGAGCAAGTCATATTGACCAACTATGTTATGACAGAATGTCACCCTAATGACGTTCTGACTTTGATGCAGGACTGTGGTGGTTGGTGTGATAGAATCATGAATGACCAAGCTGGCTTGACCAAATAAAATAATGTCTTTTTATCGCACTAATGAAATGAATATTACATTTTAATACTTTCATATGTAAACAAAATAAATGACAGCAAATCAGGTGTTCAACAGTAAAGAGTGGCTATATGGTGAGATTGAATTAAATTTAATTGTTTAGCCTTTGTAACCTGATTGGGAGGTAGAAGCCATGGGAAACTATTGATATATTCAAGTCTTGCTGGAGGTTTATTTATTTATTTTTTTTTATTTCTCATCCATGCTGCACACTAATGATCATAGGATGATGTCCAGGTAGTTGCAATAAAAGGCAATGCAATAGAAATACTAATAAAGAAAACAAGGTGTACAATTCTGCATCTCAGAAATTTGAATAATATTACAAGCTTAGTACAGATAATATTTTTATTTCAATAATTCAAATTCATACATTTTTAAGGTTAAGTATCAGTTACTGTTAATTTTAATATTACTATTAAGGACGAAATTTCTGCAGTTTATTTTAGGTTAGGATTGCTACTTAAATTGGTCTACTTGTGAAAGCCCAATTTTACTGAATTTAGAATTTACTTAATACCCCAAGCTTATTTTAAAAGTTAGTCCCAAAAGTTACAAATAACGAAATTCCGAATTATCGCCAGGCTTAATTTCTTTCAGAATTTGGCCACTATTTAGAAAGATGTTTTATTGCTTCTCACAGCCTTATACCAAACTTAAATTTAGTGAATTGAGGTAAGAGCATGTAATTTGAGCATTTTAATAAAAAGAAAAATTCAGGTTGCATCTTACTAAGTGTAAGAATTGACAATTTTATTTATTTATTTATTTTTTTTTTTTACTAATGTTCACTTTATACAAAGCCTAAGGACCACTTAAACTAGAGCGTTACTGAAAGTGGTAAGAGAAAGGGACACAGTTTATGTGGATATGTGTAAAAGACGATGGTCATCCCTAGACTTGAAGAGGTTATCATTGTAATGATCTGGAAAGAATCCTTGATTTCTGTTCCACAAAGCAACAGTTCTTGGAAAGATGACATTTCGCTGGAACTTTCTCTTTACTGAAGGAATATGAAGAGAATGAGGGTGGTTTGCCTCAATGTACGCTGTGTAGTGGGTCTTAGGTGGGAGGGTAAGAATTGGGGGAGTTAAAGAATGTAGCTCATTTGAATTTTTTCCATGGAAAGAGCTATAGAGTAGCGAGGGGTTTGCAACATTTTGTCTGTAAGAGAAGAGGTTGTAAGGTGGTAAATAATTCATTAGCCACAAGGCCATTTAGACGCTTATAAAGAATAACAACATAGTTACTTTTGCCCACATTTTGATAACAAACAATCACATATGTATAAGTATTACCTGGTCTAAAATGTTTGAATATCTATAAAATAACTATATATATATATATATATATATAAAGATGTTTGTTAGTAGATTGAGTGGTCATCCATCTAAATACTGACCAGGCTTGACGATGCTTAACTTTGGTGATCGGATAAGAATTGGTGTTTCAAGTGGACATGGTCGTAAGCCGAGCGTTAGTAGGATATTGAATCTGAACAAAAACGGGGAAATTAGTTTTTTTTTTTATTGATTGCACATTTAGCAAATAGACATTAACGGTTTTTATACCCCCCCATATATATATATATATATATATATATATAATAAACCACACAAATTGGTCTTTCATTCTAATCTGAAGACGTCTACCTTACGAAGGCGAAACGCGTTGTCAGTAAAAAGCTTCTCAACTTTGTCTTGCATAAACATATATACGTTATTAAAACTTATAGCTATTATTATTTTGTCACAAATTGTGTCGATTGTATTGATCTTTTCTCTAAATTTCAAATAATCTTTTGCAAGTATGGCTGATGTGTGTAAAGGAAGTGATCAAAATTTCGCTCTTAAAACTTTTTTTAAAATTTATAATAATGCTTATAAGAAAAAAATCATTGATTTAATTAGACTTTGGAGGCAAATTTTGCTAAATATTACTCGTCCGGTGATTATACTGTTACAGAGGGAGAGAGAAAAAAAACCCACCAGTAACACCGTTCATTAAGAGCGTGATTAGTGTTTGTCTTTAATGTAATCATCAGTAGATTAATATTCAGCAATCTGGTCTCACCATTGCTGAATAATGGGAAAAGCCCATAAAGCCAAAGTATCTAAAATTCAATAAAATATTAGATTGTTTAGAATAATTAATAGAAAAAAAAATCCCCCCCATAAAGAAAATTCCCAAACACAAGTTTATCGAGAGTGTTAAAAATGCTTTTTTACAATATCTTAAAAGTAATACTTGTTCCAAATCAGATTAATTAAGCTTTAAATCAGTTAATCTTCCTCAAATAAAGTTTCAGAAAAGTATATTTAAGAAAATTACATTGTGTTGATAGATTTGTCAATGTGAACGATTTTAGCGTTTTTATTGATTTAAAAAAAAAAAAAAAAAAAAAATTCCAATCAATTTAAATTAATTTTGAAATACAGAAAGTATTTTGCTTATTGGAAATATTAAATTTAATCTATTAAAAGCTCCCAGAAAGATTTTTCATTTTTTTAAAATCAAAAAGCCTTAGGTATCGCATTTCTTTAGAGGTACTTAATTTGCAGTAAATATTGTTGTCAATCGTTCTCTACTGTCTTCCTGATTACACTTCTATTGTCCTCTCGCCTTAGTAATGTTTCTGTTTTCTAATTCTTCTCTCTACCCCCCCCCCCCCCAATAACCCCTTGTGTCTTCGTGGTTTTACTGCTTTGCTATGGGGTGATGTTGATTTAAAATAAAATAATAAAATTGTTTTTTTTTTTTTTTTTTTTTTCTTCGTTGTGTTTGAAATTGGATTCTTTAACACAAGATGTCGCATCCTCCTTTTTTAGTTCATAGTCACTGTGCACACTGAATTTGCCGCCGGTGGAATATGCAGTTGTCTAATCTTTTAGTGGTAGTTTTACGTCGATCATTGATGTTCTATGAATAACAGCTTTTTGGAAGGGCTCTTTGGGATAGAATTCCAAATTGGTCAACAGCTCTACATCTCGCACACGCGCTTGGTGATCTCGCAGCATTTGAGACATTTTCTGAAGAAAAAAAAAAAAAAAAAAAATCAGTTACAGCATAAAGAGATACATTGTACATTTTCGTTATGTATTATATAAGGGATGCTGAAAAATTTTCGGCCCGACCCATTTTTTTTCTCGAAATCTGACAAGGCATATATATATATATATATATACACACACACACACCTAGTGAGCCAAACAAACCTACCTAGGTTTCACCTAAAAACGGATCGTCAGGGAAATCAAAAATTCGAGGGTTTTTCGAAACGAGTATAGTTATCTATATTTGTATATATATGTGTGTATATATATATATATATATATATATATAAAATCTATTTTTGAGTTCGTCTGGGAACTTTTTAGCACTCAGTCGTAAAATCATTTTCTTTACAAACGGCTGACATTCTTTTGTTTATCTTGTTTTTTTTCTTTTACGCTACTAAGACCAGGTCATTACAGGAAGACTGTAGTGCATGCGAAATAATAATAATAATAATTCCATTCACTCCACTCCCTTCAGATTTGAAGGACTGAGGAAGAAGAAGGAAAGGAATTCACGAGCCTATGTGAAAATTTTCTTTGGGTCAATGAAAACCTTGCCTTCACAGAAATTGACCGGGGAGCTGAAAAGGAGGAAAGAAATTCTCGAGCCTTTGTGAAATTGTTTTTGGACCAATGTAAACTTTGCTCTCGCAAAAATAAGCCGGTCAATCTGGAAAATCTTTTTGATATAAAATGAGAAAAATAATAAGAGAACAGTAGCTACAGTCATGTGAAAGGTTTCATCACATTCAGCGTTGAAGTTCTTGCCAGTGTAAAATTATTCGCCAATTATCGGCCTTTAATCAAGCACGTGGCGCCTCAAATAATTTGCTCGCATAAATTCAAGAAAATTAAGTATTCCAACCTACCTACGTTTACTTTTGAACGTATGCAACCATATATCCCTTCTATGAGCAACTAACTCTCTTACTTTTGTTTTAAACATTATCTTGTTTTGTTAAAATTACTCTTGTGTTTCCTCGTCATTATCATCCTCCATTAATTTTCTTGGCGTGGGTAAATCAACTGTTCATTGTAACCCATAACCCCCACGCCGCTATAAGATTCTAAAATCAATAGCGTATGCATATCGATAATGAGGCTTGGTTTGGTGAAAAAAGTTAATGAGAGATTGTATCAGTGTAATATTTTAATGAATTTAAATTGCTTGCATCATTATAGCATTTAAATGAAATGAAATATATATATATATATATATATATATATATATATATATATATATTCATTGCGACACATAATTACCATGTTTCGGAACTAAAAACGACACTTTAAATTAAACTTAAGATTAAAGTTGTTTTTGTTCCATTCTTTAATTTTAAGTTTAATTTAAAGTTTAGTTTTTAGTTCCGAAACATGGTAATTTGTGTGTCGCGATGAATATATATTATGTTCTACTGTATATCGAGCACTGGGTTTAAAAATAAATGCTAAAGAACTGTGGATTATAAATCTGACTGTTCTTTCTTTTATTTTAATACATACATATATATATATATATATATATATATATATATATATATATATATATATATAATAATAAATTAACTGATTTAAAATATGGTTTTTCGTTACACAGTAATAACCATATTTCAAAAATGGAAGCTAAAAACTTTAAATTTAATTATATTCGCTTGAAGATGAAACGGAATTAATGCTTTTAATTTAATCATATAATTAAATTTAAAGTTTCTAGCTTCCATTTTTGAAACATGGTTATTACTGTGTAGCGAAAAACCATATTTTAAATCAGTTAATTTATAATATTTATGCTCTGTAACTTTACATTGAGCACTGTTTTATAAAAATAAAGAATAACGAACACCGGATTATATATCTTACTGTTCTTTTTATTATATATATATATATATATATATATATATATATATATATATATATATATATTTTTAATGAGTTTAACTCATCTAAATTTTTAGTATTAAATAGCTCAGATCGGTGTAAATCTTTAATGAGTTTAAATGCTTTGTCCTCTTCAACGATGAAGAAGAAACTTGAACCAACAGAAATGTGGTTCTACAGAAGGATGCTGAGGATAACATGGACGGAATATGTGAGCACCGACGAAGTTTTAGAAGGAATGGAAACAAAAAGGACATTTATGTTTAACATCAGGAAGAGTCAGTTGAAATTTCTAGGGCACATAATTAAGAAAGAGGACAGATTGAAGGCAAGAGGAGCATAGGGAAACAACACATAATAACGAGCTCGAATAAATGGACAGCGGAACAAGGTTTAGGAGAAATAACAAAAGACAGGATATTGTGGAGAGCCATGACCGTCAAAGAGGTGACACGGCATAAAAAGAGAATTAGTGCAAAGTTTTAATGAGATTGTATTGAGGAGGTACTACAGGTTTGTAATGGGCGTGGTTACTGTTGGTCACCAGTTTGTAGCGGGTGCAGGGGTATTACGACTTGCTGCTGATGAAGATGAATACTTTCGAAACAAATGGAATGAATTCAACACGTAACGGATTTTTTAAAAATACATATACTTATTATAAAGGAGAATACAGCTTAAAAAGAAGTGAAATATGAATTTTATATTTAAATATGTACAGATAGCTAAAACAAGGAAATTTATTCGATTAGTGTAGTGTGTGTGAGATTTCACATGGCTGGCTTGAAATTAAGTAGTCGGCTGCCCGGGTTTCCTTGATGGACGATTCCAATTGTCGCCACTATCTCGAAACAAAAACAGAAATATTGTTTATGTCCTTTGTCCCGAATACAACAATATCTAGCGGGCGTCTTGAAAGACAATGTGGATAATCATCACAAGGTCAAATAGAGAAAATAGTGCAAAACGTTAATGTAGCTAAGTTGCTAAAATCAATATAAATGAATTTTTGAAAGTCTTTGAACTTATAATGATTTACACCAGGCGTCGGCAACCTTTTGCTATGTACCGACTTAGGGTTTTAAAATCATTCAATGTGCCAACAGCATACGTATTTTTATACAAGTCAAGGTCAATATACCTGTTCTACAATATATTTTATATAGTAATATATATAGTATATATTAAAATTGAAACAGCTAAGTATCTTCTTTGCGTTGTAGTAATTATTGGTTCGGACTTCGTGATGTCATTTGCGGCTGCGTGCCATTGGAAATTGCTTAAAAAGCCACATAGGTTGCCGACCCCTGTTTTAGGCTAAAACAAAGTAGAATGTTTATTTATAATTTTATTGTTTTAAAATACATATGAACATATATTTACTGTTCACGTAAATATTGTAACCGCATTATTAAACAAAACAACTTGAAGCACCCATTCCCTTTTAAATATTACATGTGTAGTAGGATTAGGTAGTATTAACGCCATATGGAAATATACACTTTCCTTTTCACTAAGAGAGTGATAAAGAAAACTCTTTCTCTCTTTTCTATTACACATACTTCCTTTCCTTCCTTCTATTGTTTCTATTGGTAACTGACAGAGCCCGGACATAGCTTATGTGGTGTCAGTGAACGTCATAAAAAAAATCAACCAATGAGGGTTGGAGTTTCATCGGATGTTGAGTTTGACCTGACGTACAACTCCAGAAGAAAAAGAATAAGAAAGGATGAATTCAAGAAATTAATTTCCGTCAGCCAAAAACACAACGACCCTGCATGAGCTCTCAAAATCACAAAAATGAACTAAGACGATAGTCACCCACTTTAAACACTAACCAAATGGAGTCAGCAATAAAATATACTACAGGCAATATAGTCAGTAAATTTGGCCTTTTACTTATGTATTAAGCCAAACTTCATCTCTCTATATGCCATACACATATAGAAACAATAAATTTTGGACGTAACAAAAAATATGAAATTCTTGTTTCGTTCTCTCATTTTTTTTTTTAAATAGTTGCCCACTGGTTTTATTGTTACTAATTGGCATTTATTATTTTCTGATCCCACTTCAGTATTTTGTAGCGTGGAATCATCTCTTAATTGCTGTTGGTACCAGGTCCACCCTGACCTGTGGTAATAAGCATTTATTAGGGTCTCAGTTATGGGTAAATAGTGACTCGCAAACAAAAATTAAAACATAAAGAACAAAATCAAGAATTCGCCCTTGCATGGAGTATTGCTGCCATATATGGCCTGGAGTCCCTTCTGTTTGCCTCGGGGTTCTTGATAGGCTCCAGAGGCGTATATTCAATATAATTGGCCCTGATCTGGCATCTCGTCTACAGACACTTTCTCACAGACGCGCCGTTGCCTCTCTCTGTCTGTTTTACAAATACTTTCATGGAAATTGCTCCGAGGAGCTGCATTCGCTTGTTCCCAGACTTCACGAGTTCAAGCGCCCTACGAGGCTGGCATCCCGCTCTCACCCTTCACTGTCGAAACTCCTAAATGTAACCGTCTCTTCTACTCCAATAGCTTCATGTCTCGCACCTCTCTCCTGTGGAACTCCCTTCCCTATTCCAGTTTCCCTGAGAGCTATAATCTCCAGCTATTCAAATGTAATGTCAATCGACATCTCCAGTTGCCTTGATCTATCCACCACCCTTTTCCTCATCCTTTCTTCTATCACTCCTATCTGATCTTGCTCCAAATTTTCTGTAACCCCTTGCGTCCTAGTGGCTTCCCGCCTTGCTTGGGGTGAAACGCTTAAATAAAAAAATAAAAATACATATTTATAGTAAAATGACCAGCAATGCATATTATCTGTAGTTGAAGGCATACAATTGCGTTCAAAATATTTAGATTTCGGAATTATATAACGCATAGAGGTTGATATGCCGCTAAACAAAATCAACCAATCAACGTTTAGTATTTCAGACGAGAAGGAAAACATTTTAATTAGATACTGAATTTTGAAATTTTTGTACCAGTAATAAAAAAAATTGGATCAATGACTATCGCTTTCTAGAATATTCGAAGCAGTGTGCATGCTAAGCATCCATGTACACTTTGGTTTTAATTAGATGTACC